CGCTCACTGTTTGTGTAAATTTGTTCTGAATTTACCCCCGCTTCAATTGCAGGCCATGTCCTCTGGTTCTGCTGTTCAGTACAAGATAAAACAGCTTATCCTGATCTACATATCTTGTCCCTTTAACCACAGTTTCTGGCAGTGAGGTTGTTCCACACTCTCACCACCCTCTACGTGGAAAATAGGAGCAACGGGGAACCAGTGCATTCAGAAAAGACTATTCAGTAACTGAAGATTCACTTATAATAATTTCAATAGGCAGAAAACTGGTCAGAATGTCAAATGTAACCAGAATGAAAGAAGTTAATGTTGCTGGAGATGGTGATAGTAATGGAAGTGTCCAATCTGTCACATTGAGTGTACAATATACTGCATTCTCCTTTTGAGATTTATCACCACAATGACCCAGTTGATCCTGCTGTCTATATCAGTGTCTGTGTTAATGGGGAGAGAGACCTTCACACTTAAAGGACACTGGCATTTTTTTTACGCTCTACTTAGAGGGAGCTTGGAGAGGAGTGATCAATATTAGAATTAATATCAATAACAGTGCAGAATTAGGTCATCTTTTACAGGTGGAGTCTTTTTTAAACGCTTCAATAGAAAAATTTTAATTACTTTGAAATTTGTGTAAGTGGAATGTGCAAAACGTATGAAAAGGATTTTTTTTCCAAAAAAGAAAATATAAAGTTTACTTTTTTGGTAATGCACTGTCAATCCCTCCCTCCTTCCAGCTTTTGTCACTTTGCCCACAAAATACACACTTAACAGTAAATACTGTGAAGCACTTTCAGACAAAGTTCTGACGTGAAAGGCGCTGCTTCAAATACAATTATCATTATATTATTAGCACTAATATCTAACCCAGAATGTGGGGCTGGGACAGACTTACGCATGGTGCTTGGATGGTGAGCTTTGGACAGTCATAGAGTTAAATAGAGCGCGGAAACAGGCCTATCGGCCCAACCTGTTGATGCCTTGGTTATACTCCACTATCAATGGCAAGCTGTGCAATTTTAGCTGGTTGGATTTCAGCAGTTCCCCCAACACATACACTCTGGGATCTCCAAGCCTTGGCTCTCACCAACCTGCGCCTAATACTTTCAGGAATTAGGTAAGCAGGATGGGTTCCTCCAGGGAGAGAGAGCGCATCCCATTCCAACATCTATCTCTGGGACTTCCATGTGTAGCTGGATGCATGGAATTCGCAGCTTGGTTTGGATATTCTTAAGCATGGGGATGGGTTTCGACATGTGTCAAACACCCGGCTGACCAAAAAAATCCTTCTCTCCTCCTCTATACCCTTCTCCCTCATGTATGATTCTGTCACCACCGATGTTCAACTTTCAGTGGCAGACAGTGAGTGAGCTATAACCATTCATAACAAATGCGGCACAGTAAATCATACATACAGGGTGACCAAAAAGTCGTGATATATGCACACACATGCAAACCCGCATACATATGTACACACACATCACTAACACAAGGTGAACTTGATAACGCATACAGCCTAGCCCAGGGTGAACTGCATCTCAGCCATAAATAGTATCTCACGGTTAAAGCGACACTGTCCCCTCAGCAGAGGGATATGTAAGAGTGAACAAGTTTTAAAGATATTAATTTTTTCAAGTCAACATCAAAAAAGGCACCACCTTAATTAACCATTCGCTGCCATCTCTCTGCCATACAGCAACTTGTGCTTACGACAAATTGCATTCACATGGCGTCTTTCACATTGGGAGAGCATCGCAAGGCACTTACATATAGGGTGACTGTACATCCCAAATATTGGTATATATGTGTCCCCGGATTTGGTTTACAAAATATGGTCACCCTAATTATGCAGTGTCTTTCACACAGTTAAATGTCTTAAAGCACTTCACAGAGATGGAGTGGGAGCTCGAGGAGGCTGCATAGGAAATAGGTTCAGAGGTAGATGACCAATGGCACAGTCTAAACTTAAAACTAGTCTTGGGCTTTGAAAGCGGAGGGCAGTATGAGATGGAGGGGTTTAGGAAGAGAGTTCCAGAGAGCAAAATCAAAGTACTACTAGCCTCACCCACTGATGGTGGGGCAGAGTGGGGGGGGGATGGTTTACAGGACGCAGGCCTGAGTTAGTGGAGCGGAGGGAATGGGATGGGGGAGCCGGACCCCAGAACATCACAGAGCACAAAACCCTTCAGACATGGGGAAGGGCAAATGGATTAATAACATGTAGGAAAAAGGAATAGGAGGGGTGAGACTGAGAGCAATGAAGTGCTTTTAAAAATAGAAAATCTCTGACAGTCACTAACAATGCTTTACAGTAAAGACAAGGCTGAGACTCTAACACAAACCACATCAATTATTGTCACTCTCCGCCTAAGGATGGTATCTCAATCATCGCCCTCTTTGACCTTGTGTTTCATCCACACTGTCTTGCAGAGCTCGCATCTATGCCAGCCCATGCCTGTCTCAAACCATCTCATACAACAAAAAAATATGAAATAGTGAGATAACAGCAGAGATATGAATGCAGAGCTGGAAATCTAGGTTCAAAGCCAATCTCGTGAAGGACAAGAATGAGAGATGAATAAATCCTTTTTGGCCATTCACAGTGACAGATCACTGGCAAGTTAGTGTGATGGAGGTGAACGGAGACATTGACTGCAGGACAGACAGAGCTGATGTGAAAAGCAGCCACATGACTTGAGGAAGTTGCATTTTTCTGCTGCCTCTTCTGTCATTAATGTGATTTTACTTAGTGGTACATGATGTGGCTCAGGACCTGTTATAGATGGAGGGAGATGACACATAAAAACCATAACAATTTGCAACACAGAAGGAGACCATTTGGCCCATTGTGCCTGCACTGATTCTGAAAGAGCAATCCATTCAGTCCCACTCTCTTGCCTCTTCCCCACCCTGTTATTTGAAAGAAAGTCCACCCACAGGTCAGAATTTTCTCTATTAATGTAGCATTTCAGAGTGTCCAGAATTGGCTATGTTTTAAACGCAGCCTTCATAGAGTCTCAGAAAAATGACTGCAAGTTGCTCAGACTGAACCCAACAATTGCCACATTCTGGGCGTTCTGAGATGCTACATAAATAGAGTAGCATTTTCTCTTATCCCGTTTTCTAATTTTTCAGATATTTACATAATTATCTCCAGTTCGGGCATTCCACACCTAACAGGTCTTTGTGTAAAAGTCCTGGCCGACAATCCCCCAGATAACATTGGTCACTCACTCCATGGCTGTTTGTGCGACACTACTGCTTCCAACTGGCTGAGGCATTTCAGTGTATCCTATGAAACGCTTTGAGACGTCTCAATGACATGATAAGGCACTATATCAAATGCAAGGATTATTATTATTATTATTATCCTGTAATACTGACAGAATTCCTGGCAGGAATGGCAAGTTGGGTTTACTTGTCCACTTATTTCAGCGCCTTGGGATGTCCTCCTGACGTGAAAGGCGCTTTATAAATGGAATCTTGTTGTTGTTGTTATTGGTAAACGGACTGATCCTGGTGGGTGAGTGAGCCAAGCTTCCACTAACCAGTAAAATCCCCCCATAAACTCAACCGCTAGTTTTAATAAAGTTACCAATAATCAAGAGTCCTCATTCTTGGGCAGATAAACAGAGTTCCACGTGTTGTTGCACGTGTCAATGTTACATAACTGAACTTGTTTAACATCAACCAAAGTAGAACTTTTCTGAGAAGGTAATCATCCAAAGATTGATGTATGAAGTGACTATGGAGAAAATCAACAACAACTTGCAAATATATAGCGTCTTTCACGTAGGATAACATCTCAGGGCAGGGTTAGACACCAGGCAAGGGAAAAGGGGGAGGGGGAGGTGACCATGTCTTGAGTTTAAAAATCATCAACTAACGTCTAAGCCAACAAGTTGTCTTCTGAAAAGATCATTTCATTTCATTCATTTCAGAGAATCAGCTCCTTCGGTGATTACATTCCAATCTTCAGTGGAATCTGGGAAAAAGAATGAGAGGTTGGTGACATATAGGGGACCACGGCAGGTAAGTGGCTGTCTGCTCAATATATAACCCACTCTCCTGGTAATGGGACTTTTATGCCATAATGTAATAAAATGCCAGGGGTCCATTAGCTACTCAGCTACTGGGGTAATTACTGTAAAGTGTAGTGACTGGGCACACTGTGTGAGAGAGTGAGAGAGAGAGAGATAGAGAAGAGGGGGAATGCAATGTGTGTCAAGATGAGCTGAGGAGAGGGTGAAACCCAACATTTAGCGGCTGGATAAAGACCGAGACACACCGCCACAGCCAAGCCAGCCAGGAGGAGAGGAGAGGAGAGGAGCGGAGAGCAGGAACACTCAACCTCCCCCCAAAAACACACCCAGAGAGAGAGAGAGAGAGATAGAGAGAGAGAGAAAAGAAGCGCAGCCACAACAACAACAACAACAACAACAACAACAACGACAGAAAGAGAAACAAGAGAGAAGCCAGTGACAGGCACAAATCAGGGGAGGAGGAGTTTGTGAGTGAGCAGCAGAGAGCAGATCTCTCCCTCTCTCTCTCTCTCTCTCACATACACGTAAAGAAATAGCTTGTGTTGAGTTAGAGTCGGAGTGTGAGTGTGTCTGTGAGTGTGTGTGTGTCTGTGAGTGTGTGAGTGTGTGTGTGAGTGTGTGTGAGTGAGTGTGTGTGTGAGTGTGTGTGCAAATGCCATAAGTTGTCCCCGGGGATGTGCAGTGGTCAGTGTTAACCCGACAGCTGCTGATCAGAGACAAGACAGACAGCGCTCCCAATTTTGCTCTCTACCTCCATCGCATCCCGACTGACTGACTGACTGAGTGAGTGACTGAGACTGAGGACTGAGGGGGGGGAGAGAGGGGGGGGGGGGGGGGGTGTGGGGAGTAGGGGTTGGGGTGTGGAGGGGGTGGGTTGGGGTGAGAAAGAAGGGGTGGGGGCGGTGCGGTGGGGTGTGTGCGGTGGGATGTGCGCGCGTGTGGAGTAGCTGCACAGGAGTGATGTGCGTGAACTGTTCCCGCAACCACAGCAGCGGCTGGAGCCCGGGCAGCGGGGAGCCGCAGCCTGAGCTGAGCCCCGGCCAGAGCCCGGGGCACCCTGTGCTGTTCAGCCTGACCCTGTCCCTGTGCCTGCTCACCCTCCCGGGCAGCCTGTACTCCCTGCTCCGCCTGCTCAGGGCTCCCCGGACCTGCCTGACCGTCCTGGTGGCCTCCATCTCTCTGGACGACGCCCTGAGCCTGGTGCCCTGCTCCATGTTCCTGGCCATGCAGTGGGACAGGCGGGGGCTGCCCGCCTCCCTGTGCCAAGCCTCGGCTCTGCTCTACGCGCTCCAGGCGCTGGCCAACGTGCTGAAGTCCACCCTCCTCCTGCTCTACCACCAGGGCGTGTGGGCGTGGGCGGGGTGGCACTGGGCACCCAAGCTGGTGCTGCTGAGCTGGGTCGCCAGCCTGGCCCTCAGCCTCCTGCCCCTGTGCGGCTGGGGCTCCTTCGTGCCCACCCCCTGGGGGTGCCTGGTGAACCCGCAGAGCTCCTACACCCTCCTCCTGGTGTCCGTGTACGCCCTGTGCCTCTGCGCTCTCGTCCTCTGCTCCGTGCCCCTGACTTACAGACTGCTCTGCTCGGAGGAGCAAGAGAGGCATCTCTACCCCGCTTACTACCGAGTCAGCGAGAGCGTCTCCCTGGCCGCTGGCCCCTCGACCTCGGAGGATCCAGTGGAGAAGACTTTGAAGAGCTTGCAAGGGGGCGGACAAGCCGGCAGCCTCTCCCAGTTGGCTGACACTGGGGTGTCAGGCAGACCCCATTCTCCAGAAGCCAGTGTCAGTCCCACCAACAAGGTTTCCTTCACACAGAAGCGCTTTTCCCTCATCCTGGCTGTGAGCAAGATTGTCCTGTGGCTCCCCATGATGGTAAGTTGACAATAATAATAATAATAACCATTGCATTTGATATAGCACCTTATTCACATCATTGAGACATCGCAAGTGCTTCACAGGATATACTTTAAAGTGTATATCTTGTGGGCAAAACTTGGCAATCAATCAATGTCCCATAAATAGTCATGGATTGAGTGACTACAATTTTTTTGGAGAGATTATTACCCCCGGGAAACAATCTACCAATCGATTAACAATTGGGTTCCTATTTACTGCTGGGTAAGCAGAGGCATGTGGAGTAAGAAAATTTGCCAAAGGCTTCACCCTGCCCAGGAAGCGAACCTGGGTCCTCTCACTTGCGAGGCGAGTGTGCTAACAACTACACTATGAGATTCCAATGATTCAATTCCCAAAATATAGAGGTTTCAAAAGGAACTTGCCAACGAAAAACATCAATAATAATAATATATCTTACAGTGTTTATAATGTTGTAAAGTCTCTAAGCGCTTTACAGTGATTTTATAATAATAATCCTTTTGTATATGCCTTTCACATCAGGAGGGCGTCTTAAAGCCCTTCACAGGACTTGCTGTAAAGTGTAATGACTTGTGTATTTTGTGTGCAAATACGTCAGCCCAATTGCACACCACAAACAGCCACGGAGAGAGTGACCAATTTTATTTTGGGGGATTGTTGGCCAGGACACTGGGCGAGAGAATCTCCCTTCTCTTTTTAAATAGTATCATGGGATCATTAATGTCTACTTAAACAGCAGATGGGACCTCAGTTTAACATCTCATCCACAGGACGGCACCTCCAACAATGCAGCACACCCTGAGCACTGCAGTGGAGTGTCAGCTTAGACTGTGTGAATTCAAGTTTCAAAGAGCCGGCACAGACACGATGGGCCGAATGGCCTCCTTCTGTGCTGTATAATTCTATGATGATTCTATGAAGTTTCGACATCGGGCTTGAACCCACAACCTTCTGACTCAGAAACGAGAGTGCTGCCAATGACTGAGCCAGACTGATATATGCAGATAGTTTTTGGGGTTAAGTGATTTTGTGTAACTAGCATGTTGAAATGATTACTGTAAGATTTTTTTAAACTCATTAGAATGCCCGATAAGATCACAAACCGTCAGCTAGTATTTCCTGTTCAGGTGAGCAATAATTTTCACATGGAGAACTGCATTCACGGCCAGTGGTTTGTTCTTGCTGTCAGTGTTCTTGTGACGGGACTGTGCTCAATACCACTAGAGAAAATCTGTCTCCTCTTCTCAAACCTCACAAAGGATGACCCAGGTAGACTGTTGGACAAGTTCAGGGGGAATTACTGTTATTTGCTGGAGATCAATTGAAGGGTGCGAGAGACGGAAATGTAGGGAAGTTATTTATTTTTGAACCAGTTACAAGGACCATTGTACTTTGCCGGTCCTTTACGTTGCTCAGGAAATGTTTTTGTGTGTGTGCTTTAGTGACTGTGTGTGTGTGTGTCTTTCTGATGTGAAGGGCACTAATCAAGTGTAATTTGTTGTTGTGCTGTGATGACTATTTGTCTGTGTTCTTCAGTGACAATGTGCGTGTGTGTACTTGTAGTCAGTGTGTATTGACTGTGTTTGTGTATTGTACTGTGTGTATGTAGTATGTGTGTCGTGTGTGTAGTGCAGTGACAGTATGTGTATGTAAGTGTGAGTGTGTAGTGAGTGTGTATGTGTCTATGTATATACAGTGTAATGACAGTGTGTGTGTGTGTGTGTAGTGACAGCGTGCACCCACCCTCTGAAACTCCATCCCGCAGTCCCTCCGTCACTACCCCTCCCTTGCCCTTCAAGACCCATCTCAAGACCCTCCTCTTCGACTGTGCCTTCGATCACTCCTTCTCCTACTGCCCTCCCGGATCCCGATCCCCAGTTTAGGTCCGAAACACTAACTGTCCAGCGCCTTGGGACGTCCTCCCGCCTTGAAAGGCACCGTACCAATGCAATTTTGTTGTCATTGTGGGTTCTGTACTGACAGTTTGTGTGTGTGTGTGTATGTGTAGTGACAGTGTGTATGTACTCTGTACTGACAGATCCAGTTACTAGTGCACCACGTGACCAGGTTGCAGAGTGTCTCCATTGATTCGCTGAGCTTCATGCTAACTCTGCTGGCGACTGCTGTAACCCCCATCTTCGTCTTGTCCGAACACTGGCTCCAGCTCCCGTGCGGCTGCATTATCAACTGCAAGAGAAGTGTGTACACAGTGGCGTCTCACCCCACCAGAGGTACAGAAAGCTTTGGTATCACTTTGTGATGCAAACAGTTAACAAACCTACAATACTAAATGCATTAATAAATCTTAATAATATTCTTGCATTTAGTAAAAACGCCTTTTCACAAAGGAAGATGTCTCAATGTGTTTCACAGGATTTACTATGAAATTAAGTATTTTGTAGGCAAACATGGAAGCACAATTACACATGGCAATGTCCCACAAACAGCCATGAAACCAGTGAACAATTTTATTTGGGAGATTGTTGGCCAGGATACCGGGAGAGAGAAACTCCCTTCTCTTTTAGAATTGCGCCATGGGATCTATAACGTCCACCTGAACAGGCAGATGGGACTTCGGTTTAACATCTCATCCGAAGGACGGCACTTCCGACATCAGCATTAAACGTGGAACACCCCCACACCCCCAGTGCCGCATTGTCAATCGTTTTGTGAAGATATTCTGTGAAGCGCTTTGAACTAAGGATTATTATTATTATTGGAGTGTCATCGTAGACAATGTGATTCATAGTCCCAATGTTGGGCTTGAACCCACAACGCAAAAGTGAGAGCGCTAGCACTGCGTCAGGCTGACACACTACTTAATTGTCGGTTCCGGTTCTGACTGACTGCTTATCAGGCGGCTTGACCCAGGTGAGGTTTAAATTCTTTCCACTGTACATTATCACAACTCAAAACCTGTTCGTTTCTTCTCACTTCTGTGCTTCTGGTTCCATCTGCACCATCTTTGCTGCCTGCCCGCTCAGGCCGAGCCAGGGAGGGTGGGTTATAATTGACGTGTTCTGCCCGACATTCAACCGTTCTTTAAAACTGGTCCATCACGAAGGCTGTATTTTTGCACTATGGCCTTTCCTCACCACCACTGCTGCTGAAACCCAATTTGCTTGAGGATAACTATATCCCAGCTCTGCGCTCCCTCACTCAAGCTTCCTCACGCCCGTTAACTCCCCCCTTCCCCCACTCCTCACCGAACACCCATTGGCTCTCAGTCGCTCATAGCATTGTCCAAAAGATTCTCTCTGTACAGTATATCCTCTGAAGCACTTTTGAGTTGTCTCGATGATGTGATAAGGTGCTATTTTAAAAGTAAGGAATATTATTAGCGCACAAAGTGTGAATCGGCTTGTCCTTTCACAGTGGATGTTCAAGAAGAAATTGACTGTTAAAGGTTCTGGTTCAGGTTTATTACTGAATGACCACAGGACTTGATTTGCTACTTATTGCAAACTTTCACAAACAGTAATATTTCAAAAGCAACGTGTCCTGAGTTTATGTGGTCTGGGGCAACAAGTTATTTAACAGCATGTGGTAACGTTTAATACTGATGTTTATAACTTAACTGCAGGCAATATTCGCTCGCAAATCTTTCTGTTCTTAATTTTCAGCAAAACGAAGAGGCTTTGAGTTCAATCTCTCTTTCCAGCAAGGCTACGGGATCTATAAGATATCACAAGCAAACAGCTGCAATAGTGAGGGATGCAAAACTCTCTCTCACCACAATCTCAATGCCTACCTCCCTGAGGCCAGCAAAGCACCTGAGGACACCAGGCAATATCAGGGCAACGCAAAGATTGAGATCAGCACCAGCTCCCCACAGGCTGAGCGAGCTCAGGCCAGAGAGAGTGTGAGCCAAGCCACAGAGGAGAAACTCCCCGAGCAGCCAGGCACAGCGCCACCACCTAGCCCGCAGCCCAGACCAGCCCAGGAGGGTGATCGCAAGCTGGAGCTCACAGACTGGGAGTGGTGCCGGAGCAATTCCGAGCGCACTCCACGGCAGGTGAGAGGCGCTCAGGGCTGCACAATGTGCCAGGTGTGAGTGGCTTAGGCTCTGTATGTGTGTGTATCTGACAAGTGTGTGTTGGTGTGTCTGACTAATGTGTGTGTATCTCTGATGTAGTCCACGTTCCTGACCCACAAAAAGCCATGGAGTGAATGACCAATTTTATCTGGGGGATTGTTGGTTGGGAGACCAGGTGAGAGAAACTCCCTTCTCTTTTCCAATAGTGTCATGGGATCTTTAACATCTACCCTGAACTTGGTTTAACGACTCATCCAAAGGGTAGGATCTCCGACAATGCAACACCAACCCACCACCCACCGCCCCAGCACTGCATTGGAGTGTTAGCTTAGACTATGTCTACCTGAATGACGGCATCTCCGACAATGCAGCAACTCACTAATACTGCAGTAGAGTGTCAGCCTGAGTTCAAAGTGTGTGGGACTTGAACCAGCAACCTTCTGACCCAGAGGCACGAGTGCTACCCACTGAGCCAGGCTGACCCTTTGGGCCTCAAATCTCAATAGCTTGCGCATCCTTCAGTTATTTCACCTCCATCTTACAGAAAGCTGTTTGACCTTGATCTGTTGACCGGAAACCCCTGTTGCTATGTGGAAGCATCACATTCTATTAGCTAAAAGCTTTTACTGAGTAATTCTCTGCTGAATATAGTGACCTGACTTTGAAAGTAAAGTGTTCAAGCAATATTTGAACTGGGCCAGCAATAACGTAAAAGACAGTGTTTTAGTGACAGGAGACGTGCAGACTGTCAGTGGAGACTGAGTTACTCTCACTAGAGGGCTGATTGATGGCTGAGTGAATGTTTGAGGAGAGCACAGTACATCTCGGGTGGAACTCAGTGACCTGACATTGAAAGCATTCCTGTCAACTGGTGTATCTGTCAACGTTTGATCATTAGATTCAAGCTGCCTTTGACCTACAGATAAAATTGGTCATTCGATTCATGACTGTTTGTGAGACATTGCTGTGCCTAAATTGGTTTGCCTACGTTTTGCCTACAAAATAGTCATGACAATTTACAGTAAATTCTACAGTGTTTTGAGACGTTTCGACTGTGTGATAAGATGCCTTATCAGACGCAAGGATCATTATTATATTTACAAGAGAAAATGTAGTATTTATCACCTCCAGAATAGATGCAGGTGACGCAATAAATACGTGGTCGTTCATGGTGTTTGTGGTGTACATGATGTGTGTACCCTGCGCTGTTTACATAATGTATGCCTATGCTTTGTATGTGGCGTGTAGTTTTAGATAATCGGTTTAGATAATCGAGAGGTTTATTGCGGGGAGTGCTGGTGTGGTCACAGGCTAAGATTCTTCCTTTCCTTCTCCGTCCAGCGAGCTGACGGCTTATCCATTCCTCTCTGTGCGTTTCAAGGCACCGTGTCCCTCCACGCCCCCACGGGGAAAACCCTCTCGCTCTCCACCTACGAAATGAGTGGCAAAGGGCAGAAAATAGTCCCCGTGTCCAAGAAGATCGAAGTTTACCGTTCCAAAAGCGTGGGGCACGAGCCTAGCGGCACCGAGGCCAGCGACTTCGCTGACACCAAAGTTAAGATCCATCTGGAGGTGCTCGAAATCTGCGACAATGAGGAGGCGTTGGACACAGTCTCCATCGTGAGCAACATCAGTCAATCCTCCACCCACACTCGCTCGCCCTCGCTCCGTTACTCCCGCAGAGAAAACCGCTTTGTCTCCGTTGACTTGGGCGAGTCGGCATCGTATTCCATCCTCATCCCGACCAATAACTCCAGTGGTGACATTATCTCCATCCCAGACACGGTGGAGGCTCACCGACAGAACAGCAAGAGGCAGCACGGAGACAAATCGGGGTACCGCGAGGAGATCCAGGTGTTAAACGAGGCGTATCGCCAGAGAGAGGAGGGGTCGCAGCAATCCTGAGGGGTGAGGAGCACCTCTCCCTCCCCCCCCACATCTCGCCTGTCACAGGGCAAAGCTGGCCACACTGACCACTCCTTTCCTCTTGTTTGATGTTCCACTTCGCTGTACTGTGACTGCAGTGTCCCGTGTCGCTTTGCTGCTCACTGTAAAGCTTTGAAGCAGGAATGACATGGTTGGTGTTAGCAAAGTAGTAGATGATATGGGCCAGATGGGTATAGTTTGGATCCCAATTTGTGGTGAATTATCAGCTGATCTGAGCCGGGGCAGCAGTCAGGCAAAACTCAGCCAGTCTGATTGCTGGAAGGTCTGTGTGTGTGTCTATGTGTGTATGTATGCGTGTGTGAGAGAGAGAAGAAATGAGGCTACAATCCCTCCCATAGGCTGCCTCACTAAGTGTCAGAGCTCACTTATGAACAATCATCATTTGGGTGACGCACGAAACAACGCTCAAGGAACACTAACCGAGTAGAAAGGAAAAAAGAATCGAGAAAATTGCTGTGTGATGTAGATGATGAGCGTATCAAATGCACTGCAATTAGCACTAAGCTATTTGATGCACAAATGAGAGATAGGAATTAAGAATAGCGTCATGTCTCTGGAGTGCTGAGAAATTCAATTTCTGTTAGGTTTTGATACGTGGAATCATTTTTGTAACACTGGAATGACGTGTTGAGTCTTTGTCTCTCTCTCCCCCCCCAACCCCATTAGTGGCAGTGCATGTCAGCCACACTTGCCAAGACGTGGTTCAGACAGCTGTAATGTGCCTTTTAGACAAATTAAAGGAGCAGCCTTTAAAGTGATCCTTCCCTGAGATGAAGCGAGAGGAGCTTTAAGCTGTAAAGTAACCACTCACACCTCGTCCCCTGGTGGGTTTATAACTAGGGGTTTCACTGACCTATAACAATGGTAATGGGGCAAAGAAAGAGATGGTGAGGCTCCTGCCCCCCAAGAGACCATGTCTTTTAATCATAGCGTCTATGGGACAATTCAAGCTCCAAGATAGGAAGAAATAATAATAATGATAATAATGATAATAATAATAATAATAATAATCCTTGCACCTCTGAGTCAGGCGGTTCGAGCCCCAAATCTAGACTCACAGTCTAAGATGATACTCCAATGCAGTGCTGGGAGTGTGTTGCACTGTCGAAGGTGCTGTACTTCAGATGAGAAGTTAAATCAAGATCCCATGTCCCTATTCAGGTGTACGTTAAAGATCCCATGGCACTATTTGAAAAGAGAAAGGAGTTTCTCCCGGTGTCTTGGTCAACAACCCTCAAATAAAGTTGGGCCCTCACTCTATGGCTGTTTATAGGATGTCTGCCACTTTTCACCCAAAAATACAGTCACTGCATTTTACAGTATATCCTGTGAAGCACTTTGAGACATCTCAACGACATGATAAGGCTCTGTATCAAAATGCATAATTCAATTTTATTTTGGGTGGGGATTGTTGGCCAAGACACCGGGAGAGAGAAACTCCCTTCTCTTTAAGAATAATGCCATGGGATCTTTAATATCTACCTGAACAGGCAGATGGGACGAAGGACGGCACCTCCGGCAATGCAACACCCCAGCACTGCATTAGAATGTCAACTTACACTCTGTGATTCCAAGTCCTGACCTGGATCTTGAACCCAAAACCTTCTGATTCAGAATACTTCTTTGAGGGCAATAAACATCTGTTCCTTCAAAGTGTTAGCACATTAAAGAATACTCCCCATGGTCAATGCAAGTGCATTTTCTCAACAAAATATCGCGTCCGACTATGAACTTCTAAATGTTATAGAAAATATGTAATTTTTATAGAACTTTATCACATCTCACGTTAAGTATTGTCAAGTGTTCCAGCTGCTTTTTTTTTAAAACACCTTTTATGTCCACCACGAGCTGTGAATTAATCTGGGGGACTGTTGGTCCGGACACCAGGAGGAACTCCCTTCTTCTTGTCAATCCCACGGGATCTTTAATCTGCAGGTGAACTGACACAGACGGGACCTCAGTATAATGCCTCATCCAAAGGACATAATCAGGCCCAATAGAAATTACGGAAATATTTGCCAGAAATTGCAGGGAAATTTGCCAAATTTGCAGAGACACGGATAAACACATTAAAATATAGAGGAGATACACACAGACACACTCACGAACACACACACACACACACATACAGAGGAGAAAGTGGAGAGAGAGAGAGAGCGGAGAGTGCTTGTTTTTAGTGGAGGATATTGATTACAGCGGAGAGTGTTGTTTTTAGAAGGTTTCGTGGAATAATTGTGGCCGCACTTTTCTTTTGACCCAGGATATAACCTCCGACAATACAATGCTCCCCCCCAGTGCTGCAATGGAGCGTCAGCCCAGGCTGTCAGCTTACCTCCTCGTGCCACTTCCTTCCAACCCAAGGTGAGAATGCTACCGACTGAGCCTTTCTGTTACATGCTGCCTGTAGGACTGGCTAGTGTTTCAGTTTAGAGGCAACCTCTCCCTTGATTTAGAACTAATTGCACCAGTAAACGGCGCCAGATAATTCCATTCCATTCTGAGGGCAAGTGTATGGACAGAAATAATGTACTTTTTTTTCTACTGTTTTACTGTGTTAATAAAGTCTGTGACTTAAGAGTGACTTTGCCTTATTGCTTCTCTAGTACTGTATTAATACTAGCTCTGCCTGACATTAATTCTCGTTATTGTACGTAATGAGTATGTTGAAAGCTCCTGTAAATGAGCGTGATACAATCCCCACCCCAACCCTCCCTGCTTTCACGACTTTAGTGCATTAAAATAATGATTTTTTTTCATTTTTGGTATTAGGGAACTATTGCAATATCGTTCCTCAAACTCCAGCCATTACCGCCATATTTATAACCTGCCCTTCCTCGCAAAAGTCCTAGAACACATTGTTGCCAACCAACTTCGCACACACCTCTCCTCCCACTCCCTCTTCGAACCCCTCCAGTCTGGTTTCCGCCCACAGTACAGACTGCACTTGTGAAAGTCACAAATGACATCCTCTCTATCTGTGACCAGGGCTCCCTCTGCCTCCTTGTCCTCCTGGATCTCTCCGCCGCGTTCAACACAGTCGATCACGCCATCCTCCTCCACCGCCTTTTCTCCGTCATCCACATCAGTGGGACCGCACTCGCCTGGTTGGAGTCCTACCTCACAAACCGCCAGCAGTACATCTGCACAAACGGCTTCTCCTCCCGCTTTCATCCGGTCACTGGTGGGGTACCCCAAGGATTCGTCCTTTGCTCCCTCCTTTTTCTGATCTACATGCTCGCTCTTGGGGATGTCATCCGCAGACATGAGGTGCAGACGACACCCAACTCTATTTTTCCACCTCTCTTAGTGACCCTTAGGCCTCTGATGTTCTGTTAGCCTACCTATCAGATCTCACGGGCTGATGAGTGCCAATTTCCTTCAGCTGAACGTTGACAAGATGGAGGCCATACTCTTTGTCTCTCGTCAACATCTAAAATCTCACGGCTCTCACCTCCACCTACCCGACCTCCCCCTAAAACTCTCTGAACCCATATGCAACCTAGGCGTCAGGTTTGACCCCCAATTATCCTTCCTCCTCCACATCCGGTCCCTCACCAGCACCGCTTTCTTCCAGCTCCGACCATCGCCCATCTCCGCCAATACCTCTCCCCAAAAGCTGCTGAAACCCTGGTCCATGCCCTTATCACCTCTCGGCTGGACTACTCTAACGCCCTCCTCGCTGGTCCCCATCCACAACCATCCATAAAATCCAAATCATTCAAAACTCTGCCGCCCGCATTCTCACCCGCACGAAACTCCTCTCCCCGATCACCTCTGTCCTTGCCAGACTGCACTGTCTGCCTGTCCCAGAGAGGATCGACTTCAAGATCCTCACCCTTGTATTCAAGTTCCTGCACTCCTACCTCTCTGACCTCTCTCCTCAAAACAGTACTCGTTGCCTTCGTTCCTCCGGGTCTGGCCTCCTCCTCGTCCCCCGAGTCCTCCTCTCCACCCTCGGCGGCCGTGCCTTCAGCCACTATGCCCCGAGGCTCTGGAACAGTCTTCCTCACTCCCTTCGTCTCGCTCCTTCCCTTCCCATTTTCAGGTCTCTGCTGAAGACCTTTCTTTTCGACTGCGCCTTTGGTCACTTTCCCCTCCCCTCCCCCTGGCGGAGTCCGGCGTGGAAGGCGCTACATAAATCCAAGTTGTTGTCGTCGTTGTTGAGGCGTTTTGAGTGATAAGCCCCGGTGTCAAATGCCAGGACCGTTACTATTGTGATTATCATTATTGTCGTTGTTATTATTATTCTGCACAAGTCGGAGTTTCTATGACTTACACACAACAAAAGACCCAGGTGGCCGTGCACCACGTGTCCCATTGTGTGCGGCACAATGGTCACCACGAGGAGGGAGGGCGGGGCGGGCATTGTGACGCGGAAACGCGGCGCCGCCGTGACGCGATCAGCCGGCGACACAAAAGCGGCGTCTGGCTGGTTTGTCGGCGCCGGTTTCTCTCCGGTTTCCCGCTCGCTCCCGGTGTGTCCGCCCCACCCGCACCCCCCCCCCCACCACCACCACCCGCACCGCACCCCCACCCGCACTCACCCGGCGCAGTCTCAGCTGCTCTCTCCAGACGCAACGCTACGCCACGATGAGCGGGTTCTCGAGGCACGGAGGCCGAGGCGGCGCGGCCTTTGATCGCGATGGCGGCGGCGGCGGCGCCAGTGGCAGCGGCGGGGCGCGCGGCCGACACCCGGACCACCTGAAGGGCCGCGACATCGGGCTGTGGTACTCGCGGCGGCAGGGCCAGCGCAGCCAGGACAGCGAGCGCCAGCAGGTGAGCGAGCGGCCTCTTCCCGGCTCACACGGCCTTTCCTGGTCCCAATCTGGGCTCCCGCCCAACAACAACAACAACTTGCATTTACATCAGCGCAACCTCACGCGGGGTCGCGCCTCAGAGCGCTTGACGGTGGTGGAGTCTGACGCCGAGCCGGTGAGGTGGGGGGGGAGGTGGGGGTGACCGATGGTCCGGTCAAAGAGGAAGCAGAGGGGTGGGGGGGGGGGGGTTGGAAGATGGAGGGAATGAGGCAGAGAGTTCCAGAGTTTCTGGGAAAGCTGAATGGTGTTCACTCACCAACTGCCGACAGTTTCTCCCGTTGATGCTGATGACTCGATGGCGAATCTCCCGATGAGATTTGTTTACATTTAGGACTTGAATTTGCCACCGATTTGCAGAGTTTCTGAGGCCGAATACGTCAGCTGTCGACCGGTTTGGTCCCGGGGGTGTGGGGGGGGGGTCTGGGGGGAGGGGGGGGAACGCTTCATTTCACCAGTTGGGTTTTTTTGAACAATGATAAAGGGGATTGTAAATGTAGGGATAGGGAAGAAAAGTGCTCGAGAGCCCAGACGGGAAAAAAACATACGTTGGTGGCGGTGATGGCGATTTTCCCATTTTTTTAACCGTGCATCGTCGAGCGGCTTTGACTTCCATTTGCTCCAAACAAATAATAACAGTTTGGTCACTCAACCCACGGCTTTTTTTTTTTTGTGGGACGCCGCTGTGCGCAGTTGACTGTTGCGTTTCGCCCACAAAATGTACAGTCTGCGAAGGCGCTTTGAGACATCTCAAAGTCATAAGGCAACAACACATTAGTATAGCGCCTTTCACGTCGGGAGCACGTTGCAAGCTGCTTGGAACGATATCAAATGCAAGCATTGTTAATATTCACTTTTACTCAATATTAAATTTCACAATAGGAATTTGGGTTGGAATTGAGCAAAGGTCTGCAGTGTGACCAGGGTCAATAGAAACATTTGCACAAAATCATATATTTAAGAAACTGATTGTAAAAAGTGAATTCTGTGATTTTTTAGCATGAATTATTTCTTTTTTAAATGAAATGCCATGTGTTTCAATTAAGTGAAATGAAACTAAACGTGCAGTGTTGTATGTGGTGTTCTGCCTTTTAGAGGGCGGTTGTGCACATGGATGAATCCCGTGAGCAGCATATCACACGACTGCTGAATTCTGTGCAGACACGGAGTGATTTTAAAGAACCGCGTGTCACCTTGTCAGCCGATTCCAGCATGAACTGGAGGTAAGTGGTTTGTGAGTTTTTGTACCTGTGGAGTGCGATCTGAAGGAAAGGCTTCTACACTACATGTTTTCTGACTTCTCTTGAAGGAGTTTTCACTCCTCTTTCCTTCTGGATACAATTCCACAGGCGCCCGCTAGTACCTCCCTTATTTGGTGTGTTATTCACGTATGAGTTTTAACATTGAGTATCAGTGGGCTATTCCACCAAAGGGGAGCTTTACACCAGAGCCCAGATTTTGTTTTCTCCTGATATCTGTGTACGTGCACCTTCAACAGGGAGTTCTTTTGGATAATAATATAATAATAGTGATCCATGCGTTTGATATAGTGCCTTATCATGTGGTTGAGGTGACTCAAAGCGCTTCACAGAATATACTCTAAAATGAATTGACTGTGTTTTTTGTGGGCGAAATGCGACACTGGACAGCAGTGGATTGAGTGCCCACATTTTTTTTTAGTGATTATTTCCCACAAGAAGCAATCTGTGGAATGCTTTGAGTCGTCTAGATGATGTGGTAAGACTCTAATCAAATGCAAGGATTATTGTTATTGCATCTAGTCTGTGGGAAACTATTGGATGTCCTGGGCCCTCGTAATGAAAACTGGTGATTGAAGATCATCTCAGTTGAGACATTTTACATTTCTAGAGGACAAGTGACTTCACAGACTATGCAGTGAGGCTGCTGATCAATGGTGTACTTAATCTTGCAATGTAGTGGAGGTGGAGGCTGGCATCTAAGAGTTCAATCATTTCTATTGTAGTACGAGTTAGGATCAGCTGGAGTGAACATTTTCACTCCAGCTTCTATGATAAGAGAAGCGATAAGTACCGCAATACAGACACAAGCATCAGAACGATGAAAGAGGAAGATGATCAGAGATTTTATCGCGTATGGTACGACAGTGAGTAAAACGGCGCCCTGTCTTGATTGTTTGTACCATAGAAGTGGAGCAAGCACCTGCCCGGTTAGCAGAGAAGTGAAGCCCGTGAACAAGGAAATAAAATCCGTGTTCACTGCAGACCTGGAGTTTCTCTTTCAAACCATTAATCGGGATATGTTTTTGGACGAGGAGCTGAGGGAAGATCTGGAAAAGAAGAGGGTCAATTCCAGATATCTCGAGATGAAGGTACGGGTCTTGGTACTTCATATCCATTTCTATTTTTCAGCTTCCACAGGTAAATAAATGCCCAGCAGTTTTCTTCAGCAGGAAACGTAAATCGGGGTCATTGGATGCTGAACCCAATGCACTCTCAGATAAATGCAAGTTGTTTTTGCTTTAGGATGGATTCTTTCAACAGAGATTATTTTCTGGTTTATTTCTGTCACTGGAAGTGGTGTTGTAATAAGAATCCAGTGCAATTGGTTCAAAATTAAGTTGTGATGAGTAAAGGCAGTAAAAGAGTTGATCGGTCTCTCCAGCGGTCTGAATATGCCGGTTACTAATTGAAGTTAATTTTTTTTCACAGAAATTCCGGGAAAAGCTCCCGTCTTACTCCATGAGGAACGTAAGTTTGACACTTCAATATGTACAAAGGTTTTTGTGGAACAGTCTTATATAAGTGGAGCTGTATGCCTATTTTAGTGTTCCCCAGCAATGTGCAGCAATCTGGTGTTCTATAGACCCAGGTATTGGTTGCTGGTGTTGTTACTGTTGTCTTGAGTTGGTGGTCAAGCCCTGGAATGGCATTCCTCACGAATCAGGTAAGCTGACCTCTGCTGGTGACACAGCTCTCTGCTCTGATGGACCCACCTGCCTCTCGTGTGAGCAGCTTTAATTTGCTGGTAGTTCTGATGGGTAGATTTGTTATTTGGAATTTATCTCAACATACAGGTGAAAATGCAGCGTTAGTTTTTTTTTTATGGGTAGGTTACACCCAAGGATTTCTTCCTGTCCCCTCCAAAACAAACTAGAAATTACTTTTAAGATATGCAGTAAGCCCCTGACTTGCCAGACTCCAGATATCCAGAATTCAAACCAGACTGGACCGGGCCTGAAACTGGAATTTATTTTTTCAAAATCTGCAGGTCAGCATTTAGACTCCCGGGAGCCCAACTCTCTGCATGTGCCATTGCCACGCTGAGCAGTTCATTTTTTTTNCCTGCCTCCTTCCTGGACTTCACCGTGGTCAGGGATGTCGACTTTGACTCCGATTGTTTGAATCTCTCAAGCAGCAGATAGCTTATTTGCGCATTAAAAAAACGCAGTGCAGAAAAATGCCAGAACCGCATTGTAATTACACTTAGATGCAAATTCAGAGGACCAGATTACTCCCATTAGTCCGACTAGCCAGGGTTTATCTGTATTGCCATCTTCTGCCTTGGTTAACGAATCCAGTGGTTAACGTATTTCAATTCCTAATTTCAGGAGCTGGTTGAGTTAATAAATGAAAATCAAGTGGTGGTAATCAGTGGAGAAACTGGCTGCGGGAAGACCACCCAAGTGACTCAGTTTATTTTGGATGACCACATTGAGAGAGGAGTGGGCTCTCTGTGCCGCATCGCCTGCACCCAGCCTCGCCGCATCAGTGCAATCTCTGTAAGTCACCACCATTGTCAGGAGCGTTTACTGTTTGGTCAACAACAACAACTGGCATTTACATAGCATCTTTTACGCCGGTTTGCGTCCTGGAGCGCTAATGGAATGGCCAATTCTGAGTACTTTCTGTTTAAAGTCCTTTACCCAGCCTCAGTAGAACGTTACATCTCTATAAAATATATTACGTTGAATGAGGATTCCTCAGTAGAGTCTGTGAGACCTGCCACCTTCTTTCCCAGACCAGACATCCTCAATGAGCCGTGAGTGGCTCCATTAAATGGGAGTTTCATTGAAAGCTTGCCGGGCAACAATATCAATGGCAAGCTATGCTGTTTTACATGGTTAGACTCTAGCAGTTATCCCAACGCACACTCTGGGGTCCCCAAGGTTTGGCTCTTGTCAACCTGTGCCTAATATTTTCCGGAATTAGATAAGCAGGGTGTGTCCTTAAGGGAGAGAGAGTACGCATTCCATTCTAACAATCTATCTCTGGGATTTTCATGTGTGGGTGGGATGCATGGAATTCTCAGTTTGGTTTGGATACTCTAAAACATTGGGGATGGATTTCTGACGAAAAGCTTCAGGCCAACCTCAAGGGCAATCTATCCCTCGGAATGCAGATAAGGCTCAGACAGACCGAGAACCCCATTTTAGAATTAAACGGTTAACAGTAAGATAAGGAAACTTTCTTTGATATTTCCACCTGCCTGTCATTGTCCCATCGTGATAACATATGTTTTAACCATCTGGACATTTGCCATAACAGTGGGAATTTACATTAAAAACTTGCAGTGATTTATGAAGAGATTTTCATTCATCCTCAAGAGGCTACAACCAGTTTAAAATCCCTTACAAAAACAAGACCTGATATTCTTGGTGTTTTGTGACAAATTATTCCCAGTGCTATCTAGGTATTGTTGGAGCCTGATATGTGAGCACTTGTTGTTTCTCTGACCTTCAGATAGCTGAGAGAGTGGCAGCGGAAAGAGCAGAAACCTGTGGAGATGGCAACAGCTCTGGTTACCAGATCAGGCTGCAGAGGTTAGTACTGTCCCTGTTCAATTCTACCAGCAGGGCATTAAGTGTTGAATGATGTTTAATACGTATTTATGTGCTGGAGATTGATATCTCAGAGCTGGCGGTGTCTTGCACGGTAGTGTTGAATGTCAGGCAGAATAAACCGCAGATTATTGTTTACAAATCAGTGAAATGTGTAAAAACCTGCCTTTAGACAGCATTTTACCTTAAGAACGACTAAGCCCCATTGCCTTGGAACATTCCTTGGGTCCTCTATTTTTAAGTTGTGCGGAACAAACTGTCAGCGGTATTTGCCATATATTCAAATGTTTAATCTTATTAATGCCCGAGGTTTTACAGAGCACAGTTTGTGGTGTTTTGTTTGTATTTATTTGCTGCCCACAATTGTCTGCCACGTTTCACCCACATAATACTGAGTGATAAGTCGCTACATCAAATGCAAGGATTATTATTATACGTAGTGTTGAGAATTTACCCTGTACAGAAAAGCTTCACTTAATAAAATATTGCGCGCAGGGTATCGATCATGCATCACGGACTGTGCAATCTTGTGCTTTAGAAAATAATAACTCAGTAAAATTTCAACTCAGTTCAGGGCTGGTGAGAACTGACGTATATTATTAAGCTGATTTAGAATGGCAGCACTTCTGAGCAATCCCTTAAGAGATGATGTAATTGAGGGTAGTATTGTGCGTTTGCGTCTGTTTAATGTTGGTCTTTGTTTGCAGCCGGTTGCCACGGAAACAAGGCTCCATCTTGTACTGCACCACAGGCATCATTCTGCAATGGCTTCAGTCTGATTCGTAAGTACGAATACATTACTGCCCAGTACAATAAAATCCTCTAGATAATGTATTAAGCTGCTCTTTATTATTCTTCCTGCGGGCTTTTCCAGCTCCTGTCCTAGCCTGAGCGTGGTCACCTGGTGTCACAATGAACTGTTAACGTATGTCAAATTCCTTGCTTCTCGTGTCTGTCCAGGTCAACATGGCTTCTGACTGAAAACCTTCCAGTGACAGATTGCACCACTTTTTGTGCTCTGCGCAGGAGTATTCCACCATTTTAGTTACACTTATGAAACCATTTGGGCTTACACAGCTTTCAAACACAGATTAGATAGTTTTCTTTCAGGGAATAACATTATGGGATATAGTACATAGTGGTTTGAGGCATGTGTGCATGCGACTGCCAGGAAGGTGGAAGGCGAACTAGATGGACCTTGGTCATTTTTCATCTAGCATTTCTTATGTTCTTAACTTGCACTTATACAGTGCCTTTCAAGGGAGCAGTGTCTCGGAGCACTTACACCACATTAACAACTTCCATCTATGCTTTCACGCGGAGGAAAACCTTTCTGAGCACTTTGCAAAATCGTTTTGATCAGAATTGCCCTCAAACCCAGTGCAAACCCTTGGAAAAGCAAAGGGATTTGGTGGATGTAAAATGCAAGAAGCTTTTATTGATGATGTTTGATGCCATATTTGAAGCGTTCTTCCTGCCTGCAGCCTTCTGTCCACGGTCAGTCATCTGATTTTGGATGAAATCCACGAGAGGAGTTTACATTCGGATGTTCTGATGACGATTGTGAAGGATATTTTACCGTTCAGACCCGATCTGAAGGTGGTCTTGATGAGTGCCACACTGAATGCTGAGAAATTCTCACAATACTTTGGTGAGTTTGATGTTCAGTGATTTAAGGTGTTCGGTTTCCTCAGATGAAGTCCTGTGCAGTTTTATTTTTTTTGCTAGCATTCTACTTTATAACCAGTAAAAATAAAAATAAATATATTTATTATGACCCCCGCCTCTCCTCCCCACACTGTTAACCCCGCAGTGGTTAGTTTAAGAACCTTTTACACAGCATTGGGGTTACTTGTTTGATCTGTGCACCAAATATTGAGGAAAGGATGGAGATCCAAACTTATTGATCTATTCTGAAGAATCTTGGTTGCTGCACCAGTGTGATATAGCTTCTTTCTCACACCAGCTGTCCTGGCTGTGTTGTCTGAGTCGCATTGCCAATTAGTGCTGAATTAAGGGCAGTTTTGTTGCACTAGCTAATCTGATGCTAAACTGAAAATCGGTTCACCCAAGATTCTTGCAGAGATGAATCTACTGCATTCAAGCCAGAGGTGAAAAGCAGACCAGCATGTAAACACCTGGAGATTGAACTTTTGCTGTGTTTGTTTACAGATAGATGCCCCATAATTCACATACCAGGGTTTACTTACCCAGTGAGAGAGTACATTCTGGAGGATGTAGTTGAGTTAATCCGGTAAGTAGATTTCAACCTGGATTGGTTTGCTATTGAGTTACCTTGATCTATGCCCGATCCAATACACTTCTTTCAGCTCCATTTATTAAAGGTCGATAAAATGGCAAACCCCAAAGAGAAGTAACTGCAAATTCTATCATACCATCAATTCCAAACTGTTGTTGCGGTTCTTGGGGTAATTCAATCCAGACATCTTTTAAACCAACCACTTCTCAACCCCATTCATCTTAATGCCCCTCCTCCCTCCCGGTCAGGGGAAACTCTTAGTTTCTATACGTATCAGATACATAGGACAGGGTTCTCTACACATGTTGGACATGCGTGATGCAGCGTTGATTTGAGATGACCAATTCAAGAACTGTTGAAAAACCGGATACCAATTAAAAGCTGACTTTAAACATTTTCCAAAATTTGGTGCAACCTTAAATTAAGACTGAATAATCTTTGGGTGAAAAGCATGAAGAATTTGGGGGCCTTCTGATTGGGCTGTAGCTTAGTGTGAGTTTCTAGCTCATTGACTTTTCAGAAGGTTATTAGCGGTGAATGGTGGAAAGTCTGTGTTTTTCTGGTTGTCTCTACAACAGTTTCTTGAGTACGTCACAGATACTAGTCTACAGCAGTGGTTCAGTACGTCACTGTGATTATGCTCAGGCATCTCTGCCATTGTCCAGCAAGCAAAAGAGATGTGTAAAGAATTCAAATCCAGCAGTGGAACTGTAATGTGTTATATGGCGACTGCATGTTTTTTGCTGGTATCTGCCAATGTTCTAAAGCTCTGTGTGCTTTCAACAGCTATTTCCCAAAAGAGCAAGTTGTTCGGAAAACATCATCTAAGAGGAGGTTTATGCAAGGCTGTCCATCTCGCCCGGACAAAGAGCAAAAAGAGGAGGAATATCAGCTGCAATGGGCAAAATATCTAAGAGATCTGCAGGATAGGTATGCAGCAATAACACAAATTTCTGTGCTTTGTACCATCTCTGTACCTCTTGGATAAAGGTAATGCTCCTAAGCATCAGAATGTAGAGGATCAAAAAAGAGCACAGCTATCTATCTTGGCCTGTCTCCCTTTCAAATGCCAATTAAAGCTTCCTCCCCTCCCCCCCACCTTCCCTTTGTCGTTACAAACCTAACCTCTTTCTGACATTTTAGAATTTGTGTTAACTACACATCAGTATTGCAGGTTTTAGGAATCCAGAATGCAAACGTGTGAATTCCTGCTATTACTGATATTGGCAACAGCAACAAAATAACATTTACACAGTGCCTTTCATGTTGGAATGAAGTCCCAAGGTGCTGGACATTCCAAATCAAGGGTTTGCACCTGAGCTGGAGGGTTGGAATTAAGAAGGGAGGCTGACCAAAGGCACGATCAAAAAGGAAAGTCTTGAGGTGGGCCTTGAAGGAGTCAGGGGAGGGACGAGGTGGATGGATTTCAGGATGGAGTTCCAGAGGGTGTGGGCAGAAAAGCTGAAAGACGGATCGCAGCCCAATGCCAATGGGGGGTGTGAGCAAGGTGGGGTACTGTGACAGGCCTGCTTCTGTGCGATACAATGTCAATGACTTTATACAGTAAAAGTATTGATGTGATGTGCGTTAGTCATTGAGGAGGGCATTTGAAAGCCGTGCAGTAGAAGCTGAAATGAATGAGTTGCACTTGGCAGTAAGTGCTCCCTTTGAGGGCACGACGGTGCTTACTCACCTGTAATTCTGTTCCCTGCAGCTACTCTGCTAGCACAATCGAGGTTTTAGAAATGCTGGACGAGGATGATAAGATTGACCTGAACCTGATAGTCGCTCTCATTAGACACATTGTTCTCCAAGGGGAGGTAAGAGGCCTTTTGAAATGTTACTATTTGGCCTATGTTTATATTTTATTAACTAATTTTGCATATTTGACTTTAATTTTTATCATGTTTTCCAGTTTAAACTGTTCTGTATTATTTTGCACCCTGATAACCCCTCGAGCCTGTTCCGCCATTCTATTAAACATGACTGATTTGAACCTCAACTCTGCAGCAGCCAACTGTGTTCCACAAACCGGATTGGATGAGCAAATCAATTTTTTATGAAAAAAATTGGGAGGGATTATTACCCCGGAAAGTAATCCGCCAATCGACTTTCAACCAGGTTCCTACTTACAGCTAGGAAAACGGTTCCGGGCTCATTCTTATCCCTTCTTCCACTGGGTAATACTATGTGTGTCCTTAACATTCAGCTGGTTTACTTATCCAAGAATCCTGCTTAGAAATTGCCACAATTTAAACCCCCAAACTGCTTCAGTTTGCATCCATACAGTCTGATTGTCTGTTGCAACCTTAAGATCAAAGCCTTTCCAGCATGGTGTGTTCTTTCTGTAATGTGACATCTTAACTCAATCTTATCAAGCCACCAAACCTGCTGCTTTAAGAACATAACCTTGTCCTAGCATCTGTTGATTATGAGGAAAGTTTGGCTAAATGTTTCTGAACCTTTACTTTCAGGATGGAGCCATATTAGTCTTCCTTCCGGGCTGGGATAATATCAGCACCTTGCATGACCTTCTCAGCTCACAAACTATGTTCCAATCAGGTAACGGTGCAATTTCTCACTGTTATCGAGGCGGTGTCCACGTTTGGATGCATTTAACAACATTGCAATGCTCTACCATGTGCTGTGATGTGTTTGCATGTAATTTAATTCACTTTAATTACTTTTTCAGACCGGTTTGTGATTATTCCTCTTCATTCGCTGATGCCTTCAGTCAATCAAACCGAGGTACAGTCATTTTTTCTAACTTCTCCCCTAATTGCTATTTCAACGATCCTAACACTATCCCTTGTTGCTGATTCCACCCAATTAATTAAGTTGTATTTCCTTATTTATCTCATCAAACCTTTCCGCTCAGAACCTACCACATCTTGTCTCGATCTCTGTTCCAATGTGTATCAACCATTGTGCGTTGTGAAGATGTACTCTTCATGTGCTGACAATTCTTTTTCATGTTTGAACTGGGATTCCCAAGGAAGCTCCTTAGTGATGCCAATCAGAAGTGCTTTGAACCAAGTGACCATGAGGTTGGCTGTGGTGCTGTTTTCCTGTCTACGTGTCAACCATTTACAGGCTTATTTGTTGGGCAATTAGCACAGGATGCCTGTATTCAAAACCTCATGTAAAGCATCTATTAATTATTGCAAAGTAACCTTAGAAGGAGAAAAGAGGCAGCAGAGTTGAGTAAGCCAACCTGAAAAAGAATAAAGATCATTTTCCATTTTTTTTAGTGAGGAAAGTTTGAGTAGCAAAACTGAGTTATATTACAGCTACAACAACTTGCATTTATATAGTGCCCTTCACGGGTTGCATCTCGGAGCTCTTTAACAGTGGTGGAGTCTGACGCCAAGAGAGGGGTAGGTGACCATAGACATTGTCTTCGGGTGTGATCTGAAGACGGACAATGAGGGGGCAAAGTGGAGGGATTGAGGTAGAGAATTCCAAAGTTTTGGGGGAGCGGAGGGAACGAAGGACGTGCAGGACGACGGAGTCAGCTGAGCAAAGTGGTCGGGTAGCAGAGTGGGGTGTAAGCAATTAGGAAAGGTAGGGAGGTGCCAGGGCGCAAAGAGATTTGTAAGAAAGTGTAGGATCTTGAAGTTGATCTGTTCCACAAATAGGGGGCAAGTGGACCTTGGCAAGGATTTGAAGTTCCTTATATGCGCTGCTGAAACTAGGTCATTGACTCCTGAGGCTTAATAGTCGCAAATCATTACACAATCGGAATCAGTGAATATTTAATTGTTTTGTGGATGAGCAACAATTTCACGAGTACAAAATGTTCCTCGGAAAGCGGGAGACATGGTGTAATTTGCGATGGTTCCATTCACAGGTGTTTAAAAAGCCACCTCCAGGTGTTCGGAAGATTGTAATTGCCACCAACATTGCAGAGACCAGGTAATGGAGCTCACATCCTCTTCCATTATCTCAACTATTCAAACTTAATGTCAGAAATCACTCGCTATCTGTTTGAAATGTTTTCTTTGTAGCGTAAGTATATTCCGAAGTGATGTGTCCTTTCCTTTTAAAATTCAGAATGCAGGATTTGGGTGATTGAGAAGGCAGTGTTCTCTAAGTCTTCATTAATACTGCTCATTCAGTGCTAAGTATGTTCTTGGGAATGATGCGCTTTTCAGTCAGTTGCTTGTTACCTTGCTCGTGCTTTGACAAGCTGGAGCTGTTCTTGATGTCATGTGGGAGTTCATTCCAACACAAGATGTTTGCTCCAGATTATTTCTCACTTGTTCAAAGCAAATACAATACAATACAAAATTACATTTGTGGAGCGCCTTTCACTTCGGGAGGACGTCCCAAGGCACTGTCCCAAATCAGGGATTTGAACCCGATCGGGTGGGTTGGGATTAGGGAGAGTGGAGGGCAGGGAAGATAGGAGAGATTCTGGCATGTTTGATTACGTTACTGTCACTGTTCTGTTACTTCAAAGTAACTCAGATGTGTGACGCACTTGCCGATGTGAGTTTTTCAAGTCTCAACCATTGGCTCTTCTGTTGAATTTCATCTATTGTCTAACTTCATCTACGTTGGAATTTATTTTTTGGAAGAATCAATATAGTGGGAATTTTATCAATCATTTTAAATACCTACCTCTTAGTGCTTCACATAAGTTATTTTGAATGACTAGTTTTATGGGGAGAAGGTGTCGGTTCTTGCTTCGAGTTCAGACAGTTGTGCGTCCAATCCCCACATTGGGACTTGATCATGTAGTTCAGGCTGCTGACACTAATGTGACATTAAACTGATGGCCATCTGCCTGCTAAGGTAGATATTAAAGCTCTCATGACATTTTCTTCCAAAATACTGGCCAAGAATCTCCAGATAAATATGGCATTCATTTGTTTGTGGGACACTGGGGACAGATTAGTTGCTATTTGCCGACAAGTACAAGTATTTGACAGCAATTCCTTTTATAGCACGTTTCAAAGTTACAGGTGATATCAAATGCAAGAATTATGTAGAGTACTTAAAAATAGTTTCTAATCTGTTGGACCATCCATCCACGCAGCAAGCAGGAATATGGCCAGGACACTGGAAACCACTTTCATACTTCCAAATGGTATCATTGGCATATTAGGATCAATAGAAACGTACGTCATCTGTCAGTCCCTTTTAGTTCCTTTTTTGTGTCTTCTCTAAAGCAGTACTGGAATGTGGGCTGGGTTGTGAGTCGTGTATTGGAGCCCACACACCTCTGACCCAGAGGCAAGAGTGCTGGAACTGAGGCATAAGGTTCTATCAAAAGCATTACCACCTTTGAAGTCCCAAGCTGTTAAAGGAGTTTTTTAAAAAAAAAACGTGTATCAAACTGGAATTTGTGAAAATATCGTGCTTCAGATCCCATAAAGCAAGAACATCGGTATAAAATGCCAAATAAATATTTGATAATGTCGGGGAGGGGAATTGGAGTCTGAAGCTATAACTTGGGGGGGGGGGTCTCTCTTTTTTGAAGTTTTTCTCTGTGCCGTGTATAAAAGTGTTTTTGAAATACTTTGACGCTTCATCTTCCAGCATCACCATAGATGATGTAGTTCATGTGATAGATGGAGGGAAGATAAAAGAAACGCACTTTGATACCCAGAACAATATCAGCACAATGGCAGCGGAGTGGGTCAGCAAAGCGAATGCCAAACAGAGGAAAGGTCGGGCTGGCAGGTAAGAAAGATGATCTTTATCATTCAGAAGAGACACTGTGGCTCGGATGAAATGCCAAAGTAACAATGCAATGCTCGCTGGAGGAAAGGTCACTGATTAGGACCTGGTTGAGAATAAAGTGAATGTAAATGTCAAGAACGGTTAAATTGTTCTGTCTGTCTTGAGCGCATGCTGATTTATTCAGCAACAACAACTTGCATTTATTCAGCTGTTAAAGAGAAATCTAGACATTTTCTAAATAGGAGGTCATCCAGATCTGTGTCGCTGCTACCTCTGTGTTTATAAGTCTCTGTAAATTTATAAGTCGCAAGCGAGAAGACCTGGGTTCCAATCCCAGATGGGGCGAAACCTTAGGCAAGTTTCCTTACTCCACGCCTCTGTTTACCTAGTAGTAAGTAGGAACCTTGTTCTTAGTCGATTGGCGGATCACTTTCCGGTGGTAATAATCCCTTAAAAAAAAATAATAATTTGGTCACTCAATTCCACAGCTGTTTGTGGGACACTACTGTGCGCAATTGGCTGCTGTATTTCGCCCACAAAATACACAGTAAATTCACTTTACAGTATATTCTATGAAGTGCTTTGAGATGTCTCGAAGACGTGATAGGACGCTATATCAAAAGCAAGGATTATTATCATTAAAGCCCTGCTGACTGTTATGACTGTGTCTAGGGTGCAGGCTGGCCACTGCTACCACTTGTACAATGGATTGCGTGAGTGTTTGCTGGATGATTATCAGTTACCTGAAATCATGAGGATTCCTCTGGAAGAGCTCTGCTTACAGATAAAGGTACGAATAAAATGTCATTTCTATAACCATAATCCCCATTTGCTCATTTTCACTCTATTGTTTGGATTAGGTGATAATTCTAAGTTACATTTCCGCCTCTTCATATATTCATTGGTTAAATAGGTTAAATTAGCAGGCACCTATTTAGAATTGTGAGTGTACTGATGGCATATGTTTATGTCTGTCCTCTGATCTCAGTTGGGATTGGTGACTAGTGTGCTTTTCTGAAATTGGCAGAAATCAGAGTTTAACCTACAGACTGGAAGTTGGTGGGTTAGAATCCTAGTCTGCACTGAGTTAATTTGTCTCAGCCGGGATGGAGCTTTCATTGGCTTTGGCTTCCTCGGGTTAGGTAGAAACCTGCCCCTGATCATTGTCCACAGACACAAACGTGGAATCTGCACCTAGAACAGGCCATTCGCCCCACGAGTTCATACTCAATCCACGCTGGTGTTTAAACCTACTTCCTGGAAGGTACCCTACTTGAAGTAGAGTAGTAAGAGAGAAACATGTTTGCTGTGTAAGTACAATTGCTGCCCTGTGTGCCGATTACTGCAGCTGCTGCTTGTGCTCCTCCTCAGATATTAAGGCTCGGTCGCATTGCCTCTTTCTTGGAGAAGGTAATGCAGCCACCATCGAAGGAAGCTGTTGAACTTGCTGTAAACCATCTAAAGGAACTGGTAAGCTGCTCTTTCCACTGAAATTGAAGCTTATCTGGAGAGTGGGGAGATTTGAGAGAAGAGTGTAATTGCTTACTGAGCACATTTGGCTGCTGCTCGCCTGGCTCAGTTGGGAGCACTCTCCCTTCTGAGTCAGAAGGTTGTGAAATCAAGCCCTACGTCCGCTTGATTTCACCAAAACTCAAGATGCCCCAGTGCAGTGTTGGGGAGCACAGAATTGTCAGAGTTGCTGCCCTTCGGATGAGGCATTAAAGTGAGGTCAGGTATGCCTTTTCAGGTGGATGTTAAAGATCTCACGGCACTATTAAAAGAAGCCAAGCGGGAAGAATTCCCGCTCCCAGTGACTTGTCTGCCTCTTCATGAGACGTCTCAACGACGTGAAACGGCGTCATATCAAATGCAAGGATTATTATTATCCAATGGGCATATAATATACAACTCCACTGCTGATGGCGTCTCATAACGTTTTACAGGATATACTGTAAAGTGGATTGATTGTATTTTGTGGGTGAAATGCGGAAGCCAGTTGCGCAAACAGCCACGGAGTGAGTCACCAGTTTTATTTGGGGGATTGTTGCCCAGGACATCAGGAGAGAGAAACCTATTCTCTTTCCAAATAGTGCCATGGTATCTTTAACATCCACTGGCAGACAGACCTCGGTTTAACGTCCCATCCGAAGGACGGATGTAAGATTGCTTATCTCATTCCGATGTGAGAGGTGTGTTTGGTTCATCTCAGGGGCACTTTGTTGCTTTATCTTGTTCACAGAACGCCTTGGATAGGAATGAAGAGCTTACTCCGCTCGGGGTACATCTAGCCCGGCTGCCAGTGGAGCCCCACATTGGGAAGATGATTCTATTTGGAGCCCTGTTGTGCTGCTTGGATCCAGTCCTCACCATTGCAGCCAGCCTCAGCTTCAAGGATCCGTTCGTGATCCCACTGGTAAAGTTGTAGTATTTGTTATCCCACCTTGACAAATCAAGATTATTTGAGGATTTTTTTAATTAACTGAAGCCACAGCATGTAAAATACCTAGATTTCATGCTATTAACATAGGAACATAGGAAATGCTATAGAAAATAAGACCGAGGTCCATCCAGTACGCCTTCCACCATCCTGGCAGTTGCATTTAGGCGTGATACCAACATGAATGGTTGATAAAATCGGAAGCTTTTGGTGGGGGTGGGGTGGGCTGATTGTTTGCATTGCATCAGGATGTTGGAAGGTGTCCCTGTGCCATTGCTATAACTTGTTCCATTTTAACAGGGTAAAGAGAAAATTGCCGATGGGAAAAGACGAGAATTATCTAAGGGGTCTCGGAGTGACCATCTGACAGTGGTGAACGCATTTAAGGTAGGACCCACACTCAGCGGGTTAAAATACTACCATTTAATCCGATCCTTCAAACTGAACCCTTTTGTGTTCTACGTTGTGTCTATATACGGTCAAGTGCTCTGAGACTACCCTGCCTGAGGGTAGTCTCAGAGCACTTGCAAGCTCTTGTATTTGCTGTATCTTCTTGTACCCTCGATTAATTCTCCCATCAGTGAACTGGTACATCCTTTTGTGTGAAGACATTCTAGTTTTCTAATTTAACTTCAAAAGGCCTTACCTCTGATTTTAAGGTTACGTCCTCTTGTTCTGGCTTTGCCCCCCCCACAGGGCTTTTATCCTCTATATGTCCAGCACTCTTGAGACTTGTTTCATGTCATGCTGTGAAGAGCGTGATATAAAGACAAGTTGTTGTTCAACCTTGCCAATTCACTTTATTTTAAATATGTTAGTCAGTTCACCTATTAATATCCTGCGACTCAGGAATATAAGCCAAGTCTGTCCAGACTCTCAGCTCGGCTAAACCCCTTCATTTTAGGGTTCATCTGGTGAATCATTTGTGAACTTGATCCAAAGCCTTTGTCAGGTGAGGGAGGTCCAATGTTCCAGATGAGGTCTGGCCATGGATAACTGCATGGTATTTTCTTGCTTCTACATCCTACAACTCTTGTGATAAAGCCAGCACGTGATCAACCTGATCCTCAACAGCCTCAACTTGCTTGTGCTGAGCAAAGTGACGTCCTTGTGAGAACATTGTTAAGTCACTCTTAGACAAAGATGGAGAGCGTACTAAACAGCAGCTGGGGTGCAAGAGAATTTTTAACTCTTTCCCCCATACTGTTTATTCCCCAAGTAATCTGTAGGTAATGTATCCACCGTTACGTTACCTGCTCTGTTACATTACAGCATCCAATGGAAAACGTGTCTATAAACCATATGGGGACGTATTGTGTGTGCAATTGTCTTTGCCTGCTTTCTGCACATCACTTTTGTGTCCTGTAAGCTACAGTTCACCTCATAATGTCCCACTCAGGTTAATAACCTTTGATAATAGTTTTTTTTCTCTCCTGTTACATGGATTTTAAGTGCTTTGTGTCAGTGAGTCCTGTTGTGTTTGCAGGGCTGGGAAGAAGCAAAAAGACGAGGTTTCCGGTCGGAACGAGACTATTGCTGGGAATTCTTCCTTTCTGCAAACAATTTGCAGGTAATGTATCCAGCAATGCTTTGCTACATTGCAGCATTCAGTAGAAAATGTGCAACATTGAGATCCCCTAAACTAAGTTAATTAGGAAAATAAATTAGGAAAATAAAGACAATGATTTGTCTAAGGCAATGTGGTCTGTGGTCGATTGTTTGGGAGAATAATAATAATAATAATAACCCTTGCATTTGGAATGGGGCCTTATCACGTTCGTAAGGACGTCTCAGAGCACTGCACAGCTAGTATAATCAAAATGAACTACTCAATTGCTTTATATTGCATTGAATAGTGGATAATGTGTTGTGTTTCCACAGATGCTTCATAACATGAAGAGTCAGTTTGCTGAGCACCTGCTAGGGGCAGGCTTTGTCAGCGGGAGAAACCCCAAGGATACCAGAGCAAATATAAATTCAGGTGGGTCATGAAGGCCTACCCTCTCCTGTCTACCCTTGTTACTGCCCGCCCACCACGTCAGGCCAGGCCAAAAACCTAACCTCTCTCATTTCCACAGAGAATGAAAAGCTGATTAAAGCAGTCATCTGTGCTGGGTTATATCCCAAGGTGGCAAAGATCCGACCCAGTTTCAGCAAGAAGAGGAAAATGTGAGTAACTGTATGATTTGTTTTTAAAAAAAGAAAGTGATTATACTTACTCGTGTAATTATCCAACAACACATTTTTTTTTGATTGACTATTTATTATTTTGTGCATAAATCAAAAAAAAAAACTTGGGAACACCCTATCGAACCTGGACTTACATAGACCCGAGCGAATGTTTTGGGGCTGCTTCTTGACGCCACAGGTTGGCCTCCCACAGTGGGGGCTTCACTCTGAGCATAATTATTCCGGGTTGAGTACAGGGAGCTTCATTGGTCATTCCAATTTTCCTCTGTCCTCTGCGACTCTAGATGAAGTACTTGATTGGTTACATCCAGTGTCATTGCAACCTTGACTGTCCAGCAAGTTACATCCTTGACTGTCCAGCGCCTTGGGACGTCCTGACGTGAACGGCACTGTGTACACAGACCTAATTTGTTGGTTGTTGTTACGGGTAGCCCCGAAGTTATACTGAGGCAGTTCAATTCTGGCTCATAGCTTGATTGTGCTGGAACCTGTTAGGAATAAGAGAAGATTAATAGAGCACTTTTAGTCTCGTGTAATAGGTTTGCCTAAAACACATCTTGTGAGGCCCTTTGTAGCAGTGGGTGGAATGGTTGAATCAGTAACTGAATGAGCTTCTGCAGAGAAGGAATCGGGCAGAATGACGAGAAGCTTTAACTGTTGATCTGCTCGGTACAAAGTGATATTTTCTAGAAGCTTGGGAGTTTTTCCCCCCCCCCCCTGTGTGTTTTGTTAGTTCCCCGACGCTCCACTAGAGGGAGCATGTGCCACATTAACTGGCTTCATGTTACAGGGAAAAGCCGAGCTCTGGCAGTCCCAGCTCCAAGGGGCTCTGCAGTGGCTGAGCAAGTGCTGTGACTGTCCCAGCTCCTGCCCATGGCGGGTTGCTGAGCAGGCTGGGCTGCCCTCTGAGCAATTGGGAACCAGCGGGCAGAGCCTGAACGTTGCTGATTTATCTATTCTCCAGACCGGTGGTGGCTGACTTGCGGCCTGTGTGACTATTTTACACAATTGGATATTTTACGCACTGTGCAATACCTTAAATGCAGCCCGACTGCAGGCCACGTGTTGGCCGTCCCTACTCTGGACATGGGGTTTATTCGAGGTGTGTGCATTGAAGAATACACAGAATACAGGGTTCACTCCTTGGAAGTGCTTCAAGATGTTATTCTACATGAAACTGATACATAAATAAATAAAATTGATCCCTTCAATCCACGACTGTTTGTGGGACGCTGCTGTGCACAATTGGCTGCCGAGTTTCGCCCACAAAATATACAGTCAACCCACTTTACGGTATACTCTGTGAAGCGCTTTGAGACGTCTAGAAGACATGAAAAAGCACTATATCAAATGCAAGGATTATTATAATAAATACAAGTTGCTGACCAACTCTATATCTGCCCCATTCTCCACACTGAGACCTTGGCTAACCTCCTTGCACCTGCCCTCAGGTCAGCGAGTATGTCTTCCTTAGTGCAGGGTATCTGGACCATGAGCTAGAATTGAGATGTTAATAATCCTTGCATTTGATATAGCGCCTCATCATGTCTTCGAGCCATCTCAAAGCGCTTCACAGAATATACTGTAAAGCAAATTGACTGTATACTTTGTGGGAGATGGTAATCAATTAACTCTCCAACGTGGATTGTATTTTCAGGGTTAAAGTTTCCACAAAATCCGATGGAAGGGTTAACATCCACCCCAAGTCAGTGAATGCCGAGGAGGGCGAGTTTAATCACAACTGGCTGATCTACCACCTGAAGATGCGAACGAGCAGTGTGAGTAGAGCCTGCGTTCCCTCCACAGTCTCATTCTGGTGCCTCACTTCATAAATGGAGGTTCTGACACTGAATGCATCACCTGTGACCGAAAACACACACACCACTTCACACTAGCCACACCCCCCTACACACACACCCATACACACTACTTCACATTAACCCGCCCACACACCCGCAACTTTTACACTACCCCCCCCCCCCCTCCAGACCCCAGACACACACACACAACTTCACACTGCCCCCACACTGCGTTTACACAAGGACCTCACCCTGTGTCTCTGTATTTGGTGCTGTTGGTGATGTACGGTGGGCGACAGGTACGCTGAGACTCACAAACCCCTGGAGCAGGTGGCATGTGTTCCTCGATGCTTTGGGAGGGTTATTTTGCGAGTGTGGGACCTGTTGTTCTCTTGTTGTCTAATATTGGCCTGTACTGCATGTCTGGTATTAAATACCGAGTGTGTGACGTCGAACCCCTAAAGCGGGACATTTGCACTCACTGGACAGTGACCTTCCTTTCAGATCTACCTGTACGATTGCACTGAAGTCTCTCCTTACTCGCTGCTGTTCTTCGGAGGAGATATCTCGATCCAGAAGGAGCAGGACCAGGAGACCATTTCTGTTGACGAATGGATTGTTTTTCAGTCCCCGTCCAGAATAGCACATTTAGTTAAGGTACAAAAAAGGGTTGAGTAATGGGTGTGCGTCCCTCTCTCTCTCTCTCTCTCTCGCTCTGGGTCTCTGTGTTTGTGTGCGATGGCAGGCTCTGAGAGGTGGTGACCTCCTGCAGTCAGGACACTGGCGAGCCTGGCAAATCTCCAGGCCCTTTGAACCTGTACTGTCGTCTGTCTCTCTCTCTCTCTCTCTCTCCCCTCCCACCATTTCCCAGTTTTATATTTTTGAAACTATCTAATATGTGTTATTTCTTCATGCTTAGTTTTGATGAATAAAGTGAAAAAAATGTAGGTTGAAAGTAAAATATACCCCAATAGCGCCAACCAACTCCTTGATATTTTCTGCAAAATTTGTCAAATCCCCTGCAATTTTGGCAAATATTCCCACAATTTTCTATTGGCCCTGGTCATCAGCAGTGCCCTGAAATATATGGACCTGCCTGGTTCAGGAACCAGACTACCGAGACCAACACAGGGTGGCTAGATTCCGACATTCCATTGCCAAACATGTCACCTTGGAGCCAGTTCATTGCCAATCAAATGATGTTGTAGAGTTATTGCTTTAACGATGCCACCAGAGGTTCTTTAAGATTTTATTTGAAAGCGATCTGTGGGACCAATTGTGTTCCCCAGAATTTATGCAGTGTGTGTTGGAAGTCCTCGGAGTCATTGATGTCTCCAGAACATATATAAGAGCAGAACCATTGTGCCAACTAAACTGCCTCTCCCTGGAGCAGCTGAAATAATGACCACAAGTCGCTGAGGTTCTGGCTTCCGCTCACTGCTATTATGATTAATTGCTGGTCTGATTAACTGACGCGGAGATCTCCCTTTCACCACAGGATCTGAAGAAAGAATTAGACTCTCTGCTACAAGAGAAGATTGAAAAGCCACAGCCTGTGGACTGGAACCATCGATCTAAGGACTGCGCTGTTCTGTCCGCCATCATAGACCTGATCACCACACAGGACAATGCCACCGCCAGGAATTATGCGCCTCGATTCCAGACCTACTGAAGCCAAGATAAGGACTTTTGGTGAAGATATTTGGACATTTGCCCCTTGTCCCGGCAAACCAAATGTGCATGTAAGAAAGTCATTCATTTTGATGTCTCGTTGTGTGCAGCTGCAATCCACTATGGACATGTCCAGGCACTGCAATGGGTTTAGGATGCAGCAACTATTCTCATACATAGTGAATGGCCCTCACTGTTTTCACGTTGTCCTCCACATTGCCACGGAGGAGGGGAATTCAGAAGCTTTGGCTTTAGAAGCTTTGGCCAAACTGAGCCAATTCCCATTCCTCATTAGCAGTCCGAGAGTCCCCTTGTGTGGCTCCTCTCTCCTGAAGCCAACTCCGGTAGTGATTCCGCTATCTTCTGCAGCTTGCCAGACAGAGAGATACCCTGTTTGAAATAAATGTTAATTTTGGGTTGTGAACCTGCCAAAAAAAAATATTCTTCGTCTTTACTCTGTGCCCCACTGAGCAGTGTCCAGTTCCGCCCTCCACATAACTGGTCTTGCTGCCCAGTTATTCACAATCTCTGGTACCGGCAAGTGTTCGACCACTGCCTCCTTGCCACTTTGTGGCACGGAACAAGGGCCACTGCTGGAGCCGGAGTGCTCCAGTGATCCAGTCCACACTGTTCAGAAGCCGCTACTCCTGAAATCCCAGCAGCCCGTTGCTCCCTGTCTGAGGAATAATGCGGCAATTTTGGGGCAGGAAGGGAAAAGCCTGGAGAAATGGTTCAGTGTCTGCACCAGCGACACTTCACCTCCGCTCCTCTTAAAGAAACTCCGAGCTCTTGACCCAACGTGGCGGTGACGTTGTCTGGGCATCTTGATGCAGTGTTTGGATCAATCCAGACCCTGAGCATCGGTGCAGGGAGTGGAGTGTCTCAGTCCACATTCACACCCAGGGTATTGGGTATTGCTGGAGGAATTCACTTCCCTGGGAGAGGTGAAGGGCCTGAATTTGTCAATGTTGGAGTTCATGAAATTCCTTCGTCAGTGTGTTGAGGTAGTGCTGACTGCTTTAACTGCAGCATGGTTATATTATTTTACGTTAGTTAAATCTAGTACTCGGCTCTCTGACATGTGCTCTGTGCACCACACAGGCCTGAGAAGCCATTTCATTTATTTGATATAATTCTAGATTAGCATCCAGGAGGTTCAGCTTGGCCTTTACCAACTGGACATTGATCCTAGTTTAGTTGCCCATGAGTAACATAGATAGGTTACGTGACTAACTCTAGTTAGCTTATTACTACAGAGGATTCAGAAAGCGACTCTCAGCTTGGCGGATTTTTGTCCCCTGTATTTTCTAGTTGGCAGCCAAGTCGTGTTTGGGATGTTGGGGCCAGATTTTGATGGCACCAATGTGATGGGTTTCTGTGCGAGTACATTTCTGGATATTTCTAATCACCAAGAGTACGGCTTTCCCCAAGCACTATGGAAGCAAGGTTTATAAGCCGGGCATCTCCTGAAACGTCATTGCCACAAATATTATAACATACAATTTAGAAGAGTTCTTAAATCAAGGCTTCAGCATTTATAGTGTATTGGTTAGAGCACTCGCCTCGCAAGCAAGAAGACCCGGGCAGGGCGAAACCTAAGGCAAGTTTTCTTACTCCAGACGCCTCTGTTTCCCTAGCAGTAAGTAGGAATCCGGTTGTTAGTCAATTGGCAAATTGCTTTCCAAAGGTAATAAACCCTTCAAAAAAAATAATAACTTGGTCACTCAATCCACAACTGTTTGTGAGACACTGCTGTGCGCAATTGGGTGCCTCATTTCACCCACAAAATATACAGTCACTGCATTTAGTATATTCTGTGAAGCGCTTTGAAACATCTCAACGACGTGATCAGGCCCTATATCAAATGCAAGTATTATCATTACATCGGCAAGGTGAAGTGCTCAATACCACAGTGTTGACATAGAGGACACGGCCGAGCACTCTTCTGCATGTGACATCCGCAGACATCGGTCAACTTCCACATGTATGCGGTTGACACTCAACTCTCTCTCTATCTCTCTGCCTCCACCCTTGACTCCAGGACCACTGCTGTCTGGCCTGACCTCTATCAGTGGTTGGACCTTCAGCCTCTCATGTCTCCACCCTTTGGAACTCCATCCTGCAAGTCCCTTCGCCTTGCTCCCTCCCTTGCTTCCAAGGCACATCTCAAGACACTCCTCTTCGACTGTGCCTTCGGTCACCCTCCTACCCCTGCCCTCCTCCACCCCTCCCGATCCCAACCCCCTGCCTGTACAGCGCCTTGGGACATCCTCCTGACGTGAAAGGTGCTAGACAAATTTAATGTTGTTGTTGAATCCTGAGTGTGGAGAGAATGACTTCTCGTGATCTTTGGACCAAGAGCCAGCAGAGAGAGAGGAAGTTGTGGGGATTGTGGAGGATAACCTAATTCAAAAACAATTACTGCTGCATTTAAAGGTATATATAGCCAAGTGTCTTGAGTGACTAATTGAGATTGTGCTCAGCTCTGTCCTTCTCAGTGCTTGTGTTGTGTGCAGTGAAAGGTCCAGCGTCTAGTTGTGATCTTCATTCCAATAGATACTGCCGGGTAATGAACAGTTTGCTGTTTGTGTTGTTTCTATGTATGGTTTGCTGTTGCTTGCTTTTCTAGCTGTGCTATTTATTTCTGTCTGTTTCAAAGTATAGAGCTAGTTTGTTTTAATTATCCAGAAACATTTCCCATTAAATGCTGAAAAATTCAAATCCGTCTCTCTTGCCAATAGTTCCAAACTGTTATCAGCACCTTTAAAATGATGTGTATGAACAAGTATTCAACCATATAAGCACTATTAGCAGAATTCTCTGCTGTAAATCTCTATGGTTCTACAGTAAGAAATTAGGTGAGTGAGGGAGCAATAATAAGATTACATGAAAATAAATGTCATGTTGGAGGTATTATTCTAACTGAATCAAGGCAGATAGTGGCTACTGGGTGAGATAATGGGAAACGGTTTGAAAATAATAATGCTTGCATTTGATACAGCACTTTTTTGTAGCAGAAAGATGTCTCAAAGCACTTGACAGGTTCCACTTTTTTTTATTTCGCCCACAAAATATGCAGCCAATTCACTTTACAGTATATTCTGTGAAACGCTTTTGAGACATCACGAAGACGTGATGAGGCGCTATATCAAATGCAAAGATTATTATTACTGTTAAATGACTGTTTTGTAGGCAGACCGGATGAGTTTGTGCACAGCAATGTCCCCAGTTAAAGGAATAAGCAGCCAGTTTTAGGAAGCAAAAAGAGAAGAGCAGCATAAAGATTGAATTCTCCCCCACAAATAACTAACAAACCAGCTTTATTTATCCAGTCGCACAACCAGGGAGTTCCCAGTCAGCAACAGCTTTCATGTGATAAATCGCTGAGCAGCAGCTTTGTATAAAACAAATGTATCCCAAGTCATCACAAAATAAATCAACAGGGTTATTTACAGAGAGCGTGGTTGGGAGGAGGGCTGCTGCCAGTCCAGACAACGACTCCTACCCTAGATAAAGCCACAGCTTCTTGCCAGCAGGTTAACTCTGCCCTCTGACCAACAATTCATTTATGTTCCTAATTCATTATTTGTTGAGATTCAGAGGCAACTTAATTCAAGCCTGTAGTGCAAGTTCCGCAGCTCCTTGCCAGGATCTTCCTGCTGCATTTTATTTGTGTACATCCAGCCTCCGCCCAGCCTTGATCCCCATTTCCCCCTTTTCCATTCGTTCTCAGTCTTTCCTCTCTCACTCGCTTCCCCAGCCCACGCCTTGACTGGCTTCTCACTAAGTTCATCACAAGATGTGAATTGGCATCTCTCTCTCTCTCTCTGGGAGCTGGGTGTGGGGTTTGACGCTGTCTGTCACAGCGAGCCGTCACCGTTTTTGTGTCCCTCATCACGTTCTACACATTGGTTTCCAGTCCCAGCAGCCGGCCCATCCGCTGTATGTTGCTGCTGATCGTGGCAGGGCAGGTGATCTCCTTGGCAATTTCCATGGGAAACCAGCCGATCGCTCCGTCCCTCAGACGCTCCCCTTCGTACCAGCCTGAACACGATAATAGGCAACTTTATTACAAGCAACAACAACAACAAATTGCATTTGTTATAGCGCCTTTCACAGCGGGAGGACATCCCAAGGCGCTGGACAGTCGAGGATTTGCACCCGAGCTGGGGTGGAGGACAGTAAGTCATATTAATTGTTATGGTCCTGACTGATGATACAACAACTGGCATTTACATAATGCTACTTCACGCAGTGTAGAGTCCCGGAGCGCTGATATGACTTGTGATTTTTACTGTACAAAGCACAGTGCAATACTCCCCCACACACAGCTATTGTCCTCCGGGCTGAGCGAGAGGACAAGACACTCACCATCTTCCACCCTCTGGTACAGCAGCACCACATCAGCCACCTGCAGTGACAGTTCATCAGGCTGCCTGGCGGGGAACGTCCTTGTGATCTCCACCTGGGTGAGCGCTGCCAGAGAGAGCAATGGGTCAGTATCATACACCACCCGCCTGCCTGCCTCTGAGATGTCTCAGTGATGTGGCACTATCTCAGCAAGTTTCCACACACCTAATAATAATCCCTCAAGAAAAAAACAATAATTAAATTGGATCACTTCAATCCACGACTGTTTGTGGAGACACTGCTGTGCGCAATGGGCTGCCACATTTTGCCCACAAATATACAGTCAATTCGCTTTACAGTATATTGTGTGAAGTGCTTTGAGACGTCTAGAAGATGTGATAAGGCGCTATATCAAATACAAGGATTATTATCGAGGCGGATCACTAGAATTGCTCAGAAGGGATATTGGATAAGCACGTAAGCTCAAGTAATAATAAAGCACTTTTCATAGCGAGGCTGCGTCTCAAAGTGCTTCACAGGATTTACTGTGGATAGACACAGGATAAAGTGGGGGTCACTATTTTGTACCCGACATGGGGCTTGAACCCACAATCTTCTAAGCTAGAGGGGAGGGTGCTACCGACTGAGCTAAAATGACACACAGTAAACCCATCAAGGAACAAGGGGAGAGAGCTGGAAAATGGGATTAATAAAGGATGATGTGGAAAAACAGATCCACTCCTGTGCATAAAATATCTTGGCACAAAAAAGATTCCTGCGTGTTGTACGTAACAGTCGGCCTCCTTGGCGCGGTTGCTGCAGGCTGCAGTCCTCCCGAGCCTCCAGTTAGGGGCGGTGTCTGCCCATAATTTGTCTCCACACCTCACATAGAGTACTGCGATCAGTGACTTACTTGTCCTGTCTGGGTGTTGTCTATCAGTGCTGCTCTGCCCCAGGGCCGTGAACCAACGGGCTCGTTCGCTCCTGCACAATTAACAAAAAATGGTCACCTTCCTGGGATCTGAATTGTCTCTGTGTTTTGAGAGCCATTGGCTGCTATTCTCACCTCTTACAATGTTTTCAAACACTTAAACAATCCCTCCCCCACCCACATCTGAGCCACAGCGTTACAGTAAAATTGTGTCTCCGAGAGCAAGTGTATTGAATGCTCCCACTTAAAACACTCACCTGGCAAACACAAGATAAAAATAATAATACTTGCATTTGATACAGTGCCTTATCATGTTGTTAAGACAACTCAAAGTGCTTTACAGAATATACTGTAAGTTGCACACAACGATGTCCCACAAACAATCGTGAAGTAAATGATCGATTGTTGGCCAGGACACTGGGAGAAACTCGCTTTTCTTCAAATAGTGTCACGGGATATTTTAAGTCCACCTGAACGGGCAGACGGGATCTGGGTTTATTTTAATGTCTGCAGCACACCCGCAGCACTGCACTGGAGTGTCAGCCTGGACTGCGAGTTTAGAGTCACGACAAGGGGCTTGAACTCACAACCTTTCGACTCAGAGGCAAGTTTGCCAGGCTGACCCACCTCAATGCTGCACGTTTGTGAGAGCTGCCGAGAGCTGTGAGCAGCCCAAGCCATAGTAAATCAGTTAATCATGTGGTCCGAGACCCTACAACTGTGTGAAGCACACTAAATAACCCGGTTGTTTGTGAGTTGGTGGATCGCTTTCCGAGGGTAATAAACCCTTCAAAAACGAGGGAAATAAATAATAATAATTTGGTCACTCAATTTACGACTGCTTGTGGGATACTCCTATGGTCAATTTATAGTGTAATCTCCGATGTTGCTGTGATTAGTCTCAATGATGTGATAAAATGCAACGGTTATTATATAAATGCAAGTTGTTGTTATGGAATATATCTCACATTTACTCCCACGATTTGCCAGTGTTTCACAAGAGGTCGGGATCTGGTGTTTACTCGATCCTTTTCCGCTTCAGATTTCCACTGGGACAAACAAGTCCTTTCACTGATGTCAAGGGGCACAGTGAGGTCCTGGATGACTTACTGCCCTCTGGGCGATGATTCACAAGCTCCGAGACAAAGCCTCTCACTCAACTGCTGGGGGCATGGACCCAGGAAGCCCAGAGGCTGAGATGGCGAGAGTTATAGCCGAGCACCTCCTCTTCACTGCCACTCAAACACTCAGCTGCTGTCAGTTCTGCTACAAGTAAGCTACTTGAGGGCGCTCACACACACGGATCTAACTAGAGTCAAACACTTATACTGGATACAATTAAGTACTTCTAAATCAATTATCATCATTCTTCCACGTTTCAGCTGTTGGTCAGTGCACTGTAGAAAATTAACATGCGGGTAACAGAACATTATGGACACCCTGTATAACTAGAGCACGGAAAATCAATCCAGCACTCAGGGCAATCGTATTCTCTGATTTAGGAGCCACTGCACCTCCGGGAGAACAGTCATGGTTCTGGAGAAACCTCAGACTGCCAGAACTCACATTCAATCACTCGTGATCCGTGTTGCGTGAGGATGACTGAAAACGCTGTCCTTGCCAGCAAAGCCCGAGGGAATTCTCTGCTGCACACTGCAGCCTGGAAGCTCTCCAGAGAGAGAGTCGCCTCTGAGGCGCATTCTTACCAGATGCACAGCGTAACTCAGGGAAATGACCCTCTAACACACTGGGCTGGGAAACACAGGGGAAAGCTAGAGACACCAATCAATCCCCTCTGGGCCTCAATTCAATAGTGCAAATTCAATAGGTTTGGCCAGTGCACTGAATAGATCCTTGGTCTCAGGCAGCACCAGACAGCCCCCTTTCTCACTTCCCCCCCCACCCCCACACAAACATCTTACATTCCATCACCGAGTTACAAAGTTACTAGCTTCCTATTGTGCTGGGATGGGTCTCCAGGGAGTGAATGTTTGCCAAGCCAAGGCCTCGCCATTGATTAACAGACACGTTCGTCTCTGTTGCTAATTCCTCTCTCTCCTCACTTCCAAGCTTTCCTTCACTGGGGGACAATTGTTGCCAAGTCTCGAGGCAACAACCATCTCAGTTGGGAGCATTAACATGTGGTTCCTTCCCGTTCAGTGGCTCTGGGAGTGTTGCTATCAGCCAGTTGGTGAAGACATGCCAAAAGCCGAGAGTTGTGTTGCTGATTACAAGGAAATGCTGTCAGGACGCAGCCCTGTTGACCGTGGGTTTGCTTACAATTACTGTGCACAATAACTGCACTGCTGACAGTCCACTGAACTCATCACAAACCAGCCAATATCCACCCCCATCTGAGTCCACTGAGTGTGAAACACAGCCCAGCTCAGGGCCGGGGTAGAGGGAAGGGCAGCCAACCCAGTAAACAGGACATCAGGAAATACTTAATCACCCAGTTTTTCTGGGAGCCCTGCCAACATTATTCATATTAATTGTTCATTCACTGCCCCATCCAGCATTCCCAGGTCAGCCACAGCACGGGTCAGATACAGAGTAAAGCTCCCTCTACACTGCCCATCTACACTCCTAGGTCTGTGACAACAGGTTAAAGACAGAGTAAAGCTCCCTCTTACACCATCTATCTACACTCTCAGGTCCAGGAACAGCACGGGTTAGATACAGAGTAAAGCTCTCTCTACATTGTCCATCCGCAAACCCAGGTCAACAACAGTATGGGTTAGAAACAGAGTAAGGCTTCCTCTATTAGATCTATTGTCCTTCCACACTCCAAAGTCAGCTCCAGAGCCTACACAGTGAAGCTCTACACATTGAGGAAGAATAGGCTACTTACAGAGACTCGGCTCCGAGGAGCATGAGCACCCTCTCTGCGGCGTGGTTGCTGAGCATGGTCAGGCTGAAGAGGTGAGTGGCCGAGGACTGGCGGGAGTAGAGCATACTGGGAGAGCTCTTCATCGGAGACAGGTTAAGCTGCTCAGCCTCACAGAGTTCCACCTGTAGCTGGTCTCTCAGTGCGTAGTCAGTCACACTGTAGCTGTCCTCACTGAACAGGGCAAACAGCATTAGATGAGCACAGGGCTATATAAAGCGCTGCAAGACACTGCCCCACATCAAGGTCGCGCTATATAAATGTTAAAAGGTTAATGATTAAATTAATTTTTTAACAATTTGTTAACATAATAATAATTTAATAATTTACCACCTGTTAACCCTGCATGCCAAAGCCCTAATGGTTAGGGTGGGGGGGTTCCTAGCTGGATAAGCAACAGAAAAGCTTGCCAGACAGCAATATCACAGACAAGCTATGTGCTTTTAGCGAGTTAGCCTCCAGCAATTACCCCAACCCATACTCTGGGGTTCCCAAAGCATTGGCTCTTTCGAACCTGAGCCAAATACTCTCCGGAATTAAGTAAGCACCCCTCCAGGGAGAGAGTGCACATTACATTCAAACAATCTATCTCTGGAATTTCCACGTGTAGGTGGGCTTATACTATATCGTGTGAAGTGATTTGAGATGTTTCAACAACGTGATAATTTACTATATCAAATGCAAGGATTATTATTATTATCAGCAACCCTTCCTGCTCAGCTCCGCTCATGATATCGTGGTCTAACATGCGAGATTGGCCAGTGAATGTGTTAAATATGGGTGTGGGATGTCCTGCCAGGAGACAACAAATTCAGATTCCCAGATAATAATTTCAGTGTTCATTCTGCTCCCAACAGATAATCCTATTAATATTACGCTATTTAATGACTCAGAATGCCTGGACATGTATTGGGTTCCTGTGCCTTGAGGCAGGCCTGTCCCCATGAAGGAGAGATGGGTAGCTATGATGCTCCTCCTAGCTAAGATTTATTGAGGAATGACATACTTAATGTCTCCTGCTCCCTATTTAAAGCTCTCTCCTGGGTGTCTCATTGCACAAGTGACAGGAGTGCCACAGGCAACGATCTTTCAGCCAAACTATTCCATTCTGTGTTAAGCCGGGCTCAATGGTAGCACCCCCTCCTCGGAGTCAGAAGGTTGTGGGTTCAAACCCCACATTGGGACTTGGAAACATATAGTCTGAGATTATACTTCAATGTAGCCCTGGAGGTGTGTTGCACTGTCGGAGGTGCAGTCCTTCAGATGAGATGTTAAATCGAGGCAGGATCGTTAATGTCCGCCTGTTCAGGAAGGGAGTTTCTCTCTCCCAGTTTCCTGGCCAACAATACCCCAAATAAAGTTGGTCACTTACTCCACGATTGTTTGTGGGACACTGTTGTGCACAACCACAAAATACACAGACAATCCACTTTACAATATATCCTGTGAAGCGCTTTGCGATGTCTCGATGATGTGAAAGGCGCTATATCAAATGCAAGGATTATTATTAGAATTTAATGCTGCCGGAATTCCTGGCAGGAATGAGAAGTGGGCATCCAGCTCGGAGTGAATCAATCAGAGATGTGGGTGTGGGGGAGGGGGTGGAAGCAGAGTTAAAGAGGATACCCAACTCCCCCCCTTTGGGTTTAATCAAGAATAAAAAGCAAAACAGTTTCAGAGTTTTTTGTCAAATCTCCGAGACTCCTTTCTGAATGGAGCTCAGCCCTAGCATCGAGGGCTGAGCTTTCAGCCATTGTCTCCTGTCTCTGTAACAGTGTGAAGAATCATGAAACATCTCGTTGACTGTTCTCGCATTGCCCAGAGCAATCTTTGTGAGAATCCATCAGGAGGCCTTGAGATAAAGGATGAGGCACTCAAAAACTCAGGTGTAAAGTTCATGATCGATACAATCACTGAAACCCAACCCCAGCCAACTCCCTGTGAACTTCAGCAACTGTTCCCGCTCCATAAATCCTCTGAGAGTCTCTGAATAAACTATAATAAACCTTGCATTTGGTACAATGCCTTATCATGTTGGAAGGACGTCTCAAAGCACTTCATAGGATTTGCTGTGAACAGGAGTGCCTGTATTTGTAGGCATACAAAACACACAGTCAATCCACTTTACAATACTATATATTCTTTGAAGCGTTTTGAGACAACTCAACGATGTGATAAGGTGCTATTTCAAATGCAAGGATTATTATTAGCATAATCCAAATCTAGTCATCTAATCCCCTTACAATGGGCTTTGTATCTAATAATAATCCTTACATTTGGGAGGTTATCTTAAAATTGCCTTACAGGATTTACTGTAAAGTGTAGTGACTGTGTATTTGACGACGAATGCGACAGCCAGTTTCGGTACAGCAACGCCTCACAAATAACAAGGAAGTGATTGACCGACTGAATCTCCCTTCTCTCCCCACTCACACTCACCCAACTCCAAGAGCTTTGTCTCTCACCTTTTCTTCTTTGTAACAATCAGGACGTCATTGAAGAGGAGGAAGTAGACTTGTTGGCGGGTGGTGCGTTTGGAAAATATCCCGTTATCTTGCACAAAGGCTGTCAGTTCACCTCTCTTCACCAGCCAGCGAGAGAAAGAGACCAAAGGAAATGGCTGAGGAGAGGGAAGACAGGAAGACTGTGAGAGAGCGAAGGTGAGCACAGCCCAACCTCAACGGGTAGAAATTCCAACAGGGTCTAGATATATTCAGGTCTCACCTATGACCACCATTAAGCACTCCGAGATGCTGCCCTGTGTGAAGGTCACTATATAAGTTTGTAAGTTGCTGCTGTATTCTATCCACGTGGAGGTTCACCCACAAAATAAAGTCAATAAAGTAATACCGTATATCCTGTGAAGTGCTTTGAGACATCTCAACAACGTGATCAGGTGCTATATCAAATGCAAGGATTATTATTATTATTATTTCAGAACTAACAGAATTTGGCAAATTCACCTTTAGCTTTGTACGGTTAAGTATTGTTTTTCCTGCGGTTCTTAAAAGAGACTTATAGAAAAGCGTCTTCAAAATCAAATTCTTTAAGAATTGGGCTAAATTCTGGATGCTTTAAAGTGCTGGATTGATAGAGGAAAATCTTTGGAAATTTGGAGCTGGAAAAACCTGAATACTTTAATATACTTTAATAATAATCCTTGCATTTAATATAGGCATGTTGTTGAGACGTCTCAAAATGCTTCACAGAATATACTGTAAAGTGAATTGACTGTAAAGATTTGTGGGCAAAATGTGGCAGCCAATTGCACACAGCAGTGTACTACAAACATTGATTGACCACATTTTTTGGGGGAGGAATTTTTGCCCTCAGAAAGTGATCCCCCAATCGACTAACAACTAGGTTCTTACTTACTAGGTAAACCGAGGCGTGTGGAGTAAGGAAACTTGCCTAAGTTTCGCCCACCCGGGAATCGAAACCAGGTCTTTTCGCTTGTGAGGCGAGCGCTCTAACCACTACTCTACTGGATTCCACGCATTAAATTATGAGGTGGCCCGGCAGTGAGGTTAGGGTTAAATAGAGATCCTTCGGGGGTGGGAAGTCGTAGTGTAAAAGAATTTAGAGAGATATTTGCCATGGCAACAGGGAGCAAAGCACAGCCCAGTGCCTCCATCAACTCCCTCTCCATCTCGGCTGGATTTAGTTAGGGCTGTCGGAATCAGGACCAAGTGAAACCGCCAATTAATTTGTTTTTCTTTTCCATATCCTCCACAAAGAAACGTCCCCTTTGTGCACACACTGAACTGAACTGTTTTTCTGAGTGTGAGTCTGAGTCTCGCCTTTGAGGACATTGTACATAAAACAGTGCTCACTGACAAAGAGGTGTCAGACGGCCGTCAGAACAAAAAGAAATCAAAGGGGAGGTTAGAAATACTTCCTCACTCAGAGGAGGTGGTAATTCTTTGTTACAAACAGGAGTTAAGGCAGAGGCTGACAGTTCTTTTGAAAGGGAATTAGATAAAATATAATAATTTGATACAGCACCTCTCACGTCATGATAATTACAGGATTTGACTGTGAAGTGTATTTTGTAGGTAAAACACAGCAGCCAATTTGAACACAATTGACAGGGGAGATCAATTTTATCTATGGTATTGTCAGCCAGGATACCAGGTGAAATTCCATTCTCTTTTCAAATAGTGCTATGGGATGTTTAACATCCACCTGAACAGGCAGAGGAGGCCTCTGTTTAACCTCACATCCGAAGGACAGCACCTCCAACAATGCAGCACCCCCAACACTGCACTGGAGTGTCATCCTAGACTATGTGATAATAATAATAATACTAATAATCCTTGCTTTTGATATAATGCTTTCACATCTTCTAGACGTCTCAATTGACTGTATATTTGTGGGCGAAACGTGGCAGCCAATTGCTCACAGCAGTGTCCCACAAACAGTCGTGGATTGAAGTGACCAATTTATTATTATTTTTTCATGAGGGATTATTGTTAGGCGTGTGGAGTAAGGAAATTTATCCAAGGTTTCACCTTGCTTGGAATCAAACCCAGGTCTCTCGCTTGTATGTAATATTTTAAAGGGAGTGGAAGAGCAGAATGACCTCGGGGTTAGGATTACGTGTTTTATATATTTCAAGGTGGAAAGACAAGTGGTCAAAACTGTGAGGAAAGCTAATGGGATAAATAGGGGCAGGGAACATAAATCCAAAGAGATCAGACCAAGTTAACGTATTGTGTTCAGTTTTGATCACCCCACTTTAGGAAAGATGTTCAGGCAATAGAGAGGGTGTGCAGGAGATTTACCAGTACGATACCAAGCATAAGTGGTTTGACCTATGAGCAGAGAAGGGAGAAACTGGGCGTATTTTTACTGGAACAAAGAAGGCGGTGAGCCAGTGACTAGGGGAGATCAGTTGAAGTGGGAGAAGTGCCAGGACGTGAAGCGATTTACGGAGGAACGATAGGGAAAAGACAGGCAGAGACAGAGGAAGCTGGGTGAGCAAGCAATATTTCATCAGTTCAATATTCTTCCCAACTAAACACCAACTAAGGCCTGACGTGTTAGTGGTGCAAAGGGATGTTGAGGAGGTACCTTTATCTTGAAGGTCAGTTGACTGTTAATAGTGCACATCATTTCTGTACGCTCCATCCGTCTGGCTCCCTCATTGCACTGACGGACCAGCTAACACGGAAAAGAAGAGACATTACATTCTCCATTTCATACTCCCATTAAACTATCTATTGTTATCAATGACTTTGCAAATGACGTAAACTCATTCCATTGAAATGTCAGAGCAATATGAAAGGCCTTGCGATGTGAATGATACAGTGCTGACATTCCGCTCAGCTGCTATCGCCCGTTCACTGGAGCTGCCTATCCAGTTTGGCTACATCTTTGCTTCACCTCTTGGTTGCACGGGATGTAATTCGGCTCCGCGGGAGACAATCTTACCAGCCTTTCTGGCATGCAAATGAGAGAAACATTCCACACCCACGATGACGTGATAAGGTCCTACATCAAATAATAATAATCCTTGCTTTTGTTATAACGCCTTATCACATCTTTGAGACGTCTCAAAGCGCTTCACAAGTGAATTGACTATATGATTGATAGATTTCTTGTGGATAAAGGGATTAAGGGATATGGGGATAAGGCGGGTAGGTGGAGTTAGAATAGATCAGCCATGATCTTATTGAATGGAGGGGCAGGCTAGAAGGGCCGAATGGCCTACTCCTGCTCCTAATGCTTATGTCCTTATATTTTTGTGGGCAAAACGCCCTACGGGAATCAAACCCAGGTCCTCTTGCTTGCGAGGTGAGTGCTCTAACAACTAAGCTACAGGACTTGACAATTATTATTATTCCCTGTCTCTATCAACCTCTCGCTTAAATCCCTGTATGGACCCCTCGTCTCTGGTTCTCCCGGGCTGTGAGTTCTGATCACTCTCTGTGAGAAGAGACGTGTTTCCTCGTCACTGCCCTCGGCCTGATTTTAAGATGAAATAGTGACCGATGGCGATGGCACTTACCCACTGCTATTATTTGCAGAACAAACCAACCACTGTGTTGTTTTAACTCGCAGATTCAGAAAAGGTCAATGTTTACCCTAACCACACCTCCCTGGCACAAGCTATATTGGACACACACAGGGCGAGTGTGAAAAGCAAGCCTCTTAACAAAGAATTACCTATTACAAACCTCCAGGCCGCTGTTTATAGGCGTAACATAAAAGTATGCCAATGCAATAAAAACTTACATTTACACAGTGCCTTTCATGTAGGGAGGATGTCTTCAGATGCTTAGCAATACTGGCTGGGCATCCGAGCTGGGGATGGGAGCTGAGTGGTGGGGAGGAGGACTGAAAACACACGACGGAGAGAAGGTTTCCCCTCACCTCACCCCTTTTTTATCCATCTTTAAATCCCACTTTAATACCGATCTCTTCAACTGCACCAAGGTTACCTGCCCCCTCCCTCAGTATCCAACCCAGCTCCGTGCAATGCTCCGAGACGCTGTCCTGCATGAAGGGCACTGTGCAAATGCAAGTTGTTATTGTTGTTCACCCAGTTTAATGCCCACTGACCAACTGCTCACCTTACTGACGGCTTTCAGGGCGCGGGTGGCACACTCGTACTCTGCACTGTCGATGGGTGTTTTCTGGCAAATGGTCTGTGAGAGGTGAGAATACAAGGCATGAGCTACATGTGGAGTCCAGTAATTCAGTGGTTAGAGTACTCACCTCGCAAGCGAGAGGACCCGGGTTCGATTCCCGGGCAGGGCGAAACCTTTGACAAGTTTCCTTACTCTACACACCTCTTTTGACCAAGCAGTAAGTGGGAACCTGGATGTTAGTCATTCATTTCCAGTTTTAACAATTCTCGCAGTTACAACTGACACAGGGCCTTATCAAGTCGTTGAGGCACCTCAAAGTAGGACATCTCACAAGGTTTCACCGTAAAGTGTAGTAACTGTGTATTTGAAGGCAAAATGCAGCAGCCGATTTGCACACAGAAATGTCCCATTGAGGGATAAATCTAGGGGATTGTCGGCCAGGACACCGGGAGAAACGCCCTCCTCTTTTCCAATAGTGCTTTGGGATCTTTAACATCCACCTGAACAGGCAGACAGGAGCTTGATTTAAAGTGTCACACAAAGGATGACACCTCTGACAATGTAATGATAACAGTAAAACTTGCATAAGTCTTATCTTTATAAATTGTATAATTGCCTAAATTGTTCATTCACCATTCAGTTTCCTATCAAAACCACTTAGATTTCCTTGCACTTGTCATATTAATCACCTCCTAACTCATAACGCCTCTCTCCTACCCTCCATTACTCCTGTACTTATTGGCTACATTAAACAGTCTTGATCCTGTCGCTGCATGCACAGAAGAACCTCATTTCTCACTATTCAATGGATTCCAACGTTTGACAATAAGTGCGGACGCAGTGATCGGTGGAGACACATTCAATCGCGGAAATTGTCGCCTTAACTGGTCACGGCATATGCAGTTGCCAGCTACACTGACTTACACACGCAATGCAGATTATTGATTAAATTGGATTTTAGACTACTTATGACTTCACGTAAGTCATATTAAACGTTATGGTGCTGACCGATCCAACTTATGTGAGTTTCACTGTAATAATATTTTTGTCAACCTGTTCCTCTCCACACAACCCCCCCACTACCCCCCCCACCCACACACACACACATTAGTTGGCTTCCCTTTTAAGAAGATTGAAGCTGGTGCTTACGTCCATGAGCAGAGGGAGTCGGGTCACCCTCTGCATGGGGAGGATGAGGAAGGAGATCATGGGCAGGTTCCTGCACTCGGGGTGGGCTTCAATCTTTGCCAGAGCTTCTCGGAAGCTGAGGTTTGTGTCCCTGATGGGAGAAGATGGGGAAACAAGTGAGAGAGTGAGGAGGGCCCAAAGGATGGCAGGCAAGAGAGACTGTGTGTCCTTCGGTCCACTGACTCGACCCCCATCAAATCTATCACACCTCAGCACCCAACAGGCCGACACTGAGGGAAACACATCACAGACACTTTGTTCTGCTAACTGTCCCTCAGTGCCTGGGGTTAGAGACAGGCAGGTTCCCATTCCACTCCAGAGACCCCCCAACCCCTAGAGAAACCCAGCCCCCATCATTAGAGAGTGAGGGTAGTGTGAGCCTGGAGAGGAAGGAGGGAGAACAGAGCATGTTTGTGCTTGCTGGGAGGGAGGGAAGGAGTTACTTACAGCAGTTTCTGCAGCGTGCGCTGCTGGTACACCTCGTTGGAGCAGTACTTGACATAGGGATCGAAGGTGGAGGTGGAGTGTTTCTCTACGATGTCACTGATGTCGGGGATCAGCACGTTCTCCTGGTGCCGGCCTTCCAGCTCAGTGTAGAACCTGCCAAACACACAACACAGAAAACCTCAGAGAAGCCTCTCCTGACCAGGCTCAATACTTCTGTCCTCCACAGACCACGTAGACCATGACAGGCTATTCATCTTGTCCACAACAGTAGAACCAGAGGACATGGCCTGCGATTGAAAGGTGCATAAATTCTAAACTAATCTGCGGAAACGCTATAATAATAATAATAATCCTTGCATTTAATATAACGCTTTATCGCATCGTTCAGATGTCTAAAAAGTGCTTCGCAGAATATATTGTAAACTGGATTGACCTGTGTATATTATGGGCGAAACGGGGCAGCCGATTGCGCACAGCAGTGTCCCACAAACAGTTGTGGATTGAGTGACCCCAAAAAAATGTTTTTTTTTTACTTTGGAGAAATTATTACTTCTGGAAAGTGATTCACTAATCAACAAACAACCCCGGGTAAGTGTGCCTCAGGCTTCAAACCCGGATCCTCTCTCTTGCTCTAACCAATATGCTGCAGGCTCCACTATCAACATCTCCATTGTTGTAGCATTCGACTACCAGGATAGTAGAAGATGAACTAGATGGACCTTGGTGTTTTTTTTTGTCCAGCAGTTCTTGTGTTTATGTAACACAGCCACTGACTAGCTGACTCGACAGTGACTGCAAAGTCTCTAGACAGGGATCAGGAGGGAAGGAGGTTTATGGCAAGGATTCTGTGCACACATACAGAGAAATACAGAGAGAGAGACACACAGACATGTGGTGAGGGAGCTAATGTATATAAAGACTCAGGTTCACCCAGCGAGCCCTTGGCTCTCACACTAATCCAGCCTTTGTGTGAATGTGGCGGCAAGATTATCACGCTCCACAAAATGTCATTAATCAAACAATCTGATCTCTTTCACAGCACCCAGCAGCAATCTCCTCTACACACCAGGAGGAGACCAACACACATTTGGTAAGACAGTACTGAACACCCGAGTGTGAGTACACTAACCTAAACAGAGAGCAGAACAGTAAGATATTGCTGTACACAGGGCTCGGTGTGGGGGAGGGGGGGTGTACTGAGGAAAAGTGTAAAATCAAAATGTTTGAACACACACGCCTGGCCACACACACACACACGCACCCTGGCCACACACATACGCCTGGCCACACACACACGCACACCTGGACACACACACGCGCCTGGTCACACACATACGCACACCTGGCCACACACACACACATGCCTGGCCACACACACTTGGTCACACACACACACAACACACACACACACACACCTGGTCACACACACACCTGGCCACACACATAGGCACACCTGGCCACACACACTTGGCCACAGAGACACAGGCTGGGGCCGGCTACACCTTAAACATCTCTGCCTCGTAAATCCAAACTAGTCCCTAATTACACATTAACATCAGCACAATCCACAGTCAATCCCACTGTGAGACAGAAATTCCCTTCTCTTTTCAAATGGGTCCATGGGATTTTTAACGTCCACCCGAATAGGGGTTTTGGCCACAGATACTGAGCAGAGAGTCTGAGGACAGGGAGAGAGCATGGAGAGGGCAGGAGAGAGAGAGGAGGCGGGAAGAGAGGACTGTAAACCTATAGTTTAGGTTTTGTGAGGTGAAAGTGAGATCCTGGAACATGAGCCAGATGCCTTGCCACTGACAAGACAGGGTTGGCACCGCTTGCTATTCCCATCGCTGGTCAAAACCAGGGCCGTACTCATTACCCCTACACACACCCCTCGCCCCCACCGGATCACGTACAGCCTCTCAGCCCTGCCAGGGTAAACCTGACCTGCCTTTGCTGCTGCCTTTCCCCTCGGAGGCACACGGTTTATTGGTTCGCTCCAGGGCAATGTACAAACACAACACAGCCATTCCTGGCTCACAGCCCAGCTCGGGCTGTCACAGTGCTGGGGGAGGGGCTGCACTGTACCAGACTGTGCTGGGAGGGGGGAGGCTACAATACACAGAACAGCAACCCAATCCCCCTCCTCCTCCCACTCCCAGCCTGTAACCCTGCAATAGACTGTAACACACTCAGAGGGGGACAATGCTACCAACTGAGCCTCATGCGATCTTGTGTTGCTGGGAGGGTCCCATCTGCCTAAACATGTCCCGTCTGCCTGTTCAGGTGGACGTTAAGATCCCGGGGTGCTGTTTAAAAAGAGAAGGCAGTTGTTCTCTCCCAGTGTGCTGGACAACAAGCCCCCAGATACAATTTGGTCACTCACTTCATGGCTGTTTGTGGGACACTGTTGTGTGCAACTGGCTGCCACATTTCTCCCACCAAACACCCAGTCAATCCACTTTTGCAGCATATTCTGTGAAATGTGTTGAGACGTCTCAATGATGTGATAAGACGCTATTTCAAATGTAAAGATTATTATTACGATTAAATTGCATCCCAATAGATTCAGCTAAACGTAAGCTTTTTCCAAAACGCCGCCCCCATCTCTCCGCACTTTGGGAGTCAATGAACGGTCCCGAGGTTAAGAACGTGGGAAATTCTGAGCCTTTGACGTTTAACCTGCGATTATTCTTCACTCTGCGCTCCATCCAAATGCCCTCGTCTGAGCAGTGAGAAGCCACTCAGTCAGTGGCGTGAGCTCAGAATGCAGGATTCACGTCTTCAATTGTGTGTGCGGCGGAAAGAGAGAGAGAGGGAGCGCGAGAGAGGGATGTTGTGTACTTGTATCAATGGGTCATTGGAATGCAGTTGGCTTCTTTGTGCACAGTACAATGAGTGCTTTGTAGGAATCTACATAAGTGATGGCGCTGTTTGGGACATAAACTCTGACCTTTCCAGCGAGGAAGGAAAAGGCATTTTTTTCCCATATAATAATCCTTGCAGTTTTTTTGATATAGCGCCTCATCGTGTCTTCCAGACGTCTCAAAACGCTTCACAGAATACACTGTAAAGTGAATTGACTGTGTATCTTGCGGGCGAAAGGCGGCAGCCAATTGCGCACAGCAGCGTCCCACAAACAGTCATGGATTGAAGTGACCAATTTATTATTATTATTAGTTATTATTATTAATGATTCCTAAATTATGAAGGAATTATTATCCCCGGAAAAGCGATTCGCTGATCGACTAACAATGGGTTCCTACTTACTTCTAGGTAAACAGAGGCATGTGGAGTAAGGAGACTTGCCAAACATTTCGCCCTGCCGGGAGGTTTAACAAGAGTTGGACTGACAACATGGCAGTGATAGTACAGGCTGAGAGAGAAGGATGTTAATGGTTACAATATGTGCCACAGGGTCTCTGAAGATAAAACAGATTGTGTCAGAGATAAATCCCATTAATGTGACAGATTGTGACATCTGAAGCAATCCATCTTCAAAGAAAGTTTGAGTTTCAAGCATGAGTCGAGCTGCTATTCCCCCCCTACCCCTCTCTCTCTCTCTCTCTCTCTGCTGAGGGGTCCGGGCAGCTGTTTAATCCTGTGCTGAGAACTGAGGAACAGAAACCAGCACAAGATACCAAGGTGTTCGGATGAAGAAGACCTTTCGGCCCAGGTGATCTCACAGTTACAGAATCCCCGTCCTACCCTCACCCCATCACAGCACTAAGCTGTGTCTTAATTAAGTCCCAGTGTCCTGGCTGCAACCACCGTTCTAGTAACTTGTTCTAGTCACAAATTGCCTTCAGAGTAAACACAAACTTCCTGGTATCTGTCCTGAAATTGCCCTTTACAGCTCGAAACCTACGTGCTTGTGTTCTACTGACTTGGTGCATCCGAAAGTATTGATATGGGTTTACTTTCTCAATCGTGTTTATCATCTGAATGATCTCCTCAGAGCTATTTCTTTCCAAGTAAAACTGTTTAAGAGAGAGAGCAGAATATACTGTAAAGTGAATTGACTGTGTATTTTGTGGGCGAAACCCGGCAGCCAATTGCTCCAGGAGTGACCCACAAACAGCCGTGGATTGAGTGACCGCATCATTAAAAAAAAATTTATGCAGAGGGATTATTTCCCCAGAAAGTAATCCACCGATTGACAAAACTAGTGGTTCCTACTTCCTGCTAGGTAAACAGATGCAACACTGTAAAGAGCTGAGTGTTTGGAGAGAAAGAGAGAGAGTGACAGGCAGATGTGTGACGAGGAGAGCGGGGGATTGGGGTTGGGAGTGGTCAGTGTATGTAAGCGACTCAGCCTTTTCCCACAATAATTATATACCACTCGCTAGCCATTCATCGCCATGGTTACCCGCTAGGAGAGCTTACGCTGCATAGACTTCAATAATCAGCATCGTCACTGGGGGAGGGGGCTCAGGGTAAGCACAGCCCAGCCCGGGAGGGGGAGAAGTGGGGGAAGCATGGAGAGTCGATTTGTGTGTGGGGAGATGGGGTGCATTGTGGAGGGGGGGTGGGGGCGGTTGAAGGGGGAGGTAGTGTGTACTGCATGTGTGTGTGTGGGGTGGGGTGTTGGCGGTGTGTGTGGGGCAGACACGATGCGGCACAGGGGGGAGGGACAGGTCGGTGGGGGAGAGAAGCAGGAGGCACTTACTTGCAGCTGGAGCGGGAGACATCAGTGATGTTAGAGAAGAGATGGTGTCTCTCGATTTTGGTCATGGTGACACTCAGCTCTTCTGAGTTCTTGAACATTCGGATCAGGATGTCCAGGCTCAGCATGTAGGAGCGCTCAGAGGAGATCACCTCGAAGATGGCCTGTGTGACAGGGAGAGAGAGGGGGCAGCGTGAGCCAGAGGCTGATGCTTGTTCACCCAAGGATTTGTCTTCAAATCCCCCCCACCCGCCCCAAACTCAAAAAACAGGTACAAAATTTGGTCACTACACAGCCCACAGCGATCAACGGGAATCACTTTCAGATGCTTTGACATGATGAGGAGGCTATGAAAATGCAGGGTTTTTTTTACTAAAGCCCGTCTTTAGACTGTAATATATTCTAACTTTTAGGAATAACATGTTGTTCAGCAATTAGCGCCATGGGACGTCCTCCCGATGTGAAAGGCATTATATAAATTCAATTGCTTGTTACTGTGTTTCACACTGAGTGCTGACACCCCCCCAAGTGAGCTCATACAGGGCAAACTGACAGTCACCTTACCTCCTGCCTTTTGGTCTCCTGTTGACTGACGGTCTGTAATATTCCACTCTCCTGCACCTGAAAGGCAGAGACAGATATCAGTCACAGCACAGAGAATAGCTCCGCTAGCACATAGCAGCCTGAGTGGGGGAACCCTGCATTGGAGTCCTGTAGTGTAGTGGTTAGCGTGCTCACCTCGATGAGAGAAACCGGGTTTGATTCCCGGGCAGGGAGAAACCTTAGGCAAGTTTCTTTATTCCATTAGCCTCTGTTTAACGAACAGTAACTAGGAACCTAGTTGTTAGTCGATTGGTGTATCGCTTTCCAGGGGTAATAATCCCCTTCAATCCCCCAGGTAAAACCACTCGCTCACTCACTCCATGACTTTGTGGGACTTTGCTGCATGTAAGTTGGCTGCCGCGTTTGGCAACTGTATTTGACAGAAAAGCAGCTTTGAAGAGATTTTGATGCGATAAGGATTATTATTAAGATTCGACAACAATGCTTCTCTCTCTGCTGCTCTGTGAGTACAAGCAACTTCTGTGCCTGTGCTGAGCGCGTGCCACGCACTCTCACTGCGGCACGCAGCTCACTGCAGGCCTGGCGGCTGATCGGACATGAGTAACGCGAGGGGATTCCTGGCTGGTCTGGGGTCCGCCCTGCCTGGAGAGCCAGGACTCAGCGTGCCGGGGGCTGAGTGGGAAAGCGTGGCTGTAACAGCCTGGCGCAGTGGTAGCGCTCTCGCCTCTGAGAGCTGTGGGTTCGAGTCCCAGATCAGGACTTGGAATCACAGTCTGAGCTGACACTCCAACGCAGCACTGGGAGGGGTGTTGTATTGTCAGAAACGTTCAACCGAGGCCTGTCTGCCTGTTCAGGTGGATGTTAATGACCCTATTGGAGAAGAGTATGGAGTTTCTCTCTCCCGGAGTCCTGGCCAACAATCCCCCAAATAAAAAAAAATCAGTCACTCACTTCATGGCTATAATGTGCAGCTAACTCCAGCGAGCAGTCCTGCCGATGGACAGACGACACCGAGTGTTATTGAGCGGTCAGCAGCCGTCAGTGACAGCAGAGGAGTTTCAGGCATTACTGCAACCTGACCCCGGTTCGCTGTGCTGCACATACCCATTCCCCACTCACTATAGAGACATTCCTGGGCATTATGGAGTCCTGTAGCTTAGTGGTTATCATGCTCGCCTAAAGAGAAGACCTGGGTTTGATTCCCAGGCAGACGAAATCTCAGGCACACTCCACATGCCACTGTTTAGCAGTAAGTAGTCGATCGGTGGATCGCTTTCCGGGATAATAATCCCTCAATCCACAATTGTGGGATACGACTTTGCATAATTGGTTGCCGTGTTTCGCCCACAAAATACACAGTCAATCTACTTTACAATATATTGTGTGAAGCGCTCTGAGATGTCTCAACAACGTAATAAGGTGTGATATCAAATGCAAGGATTATGGTTATTATTTTTATGTTCCTGACGCAATCTCTCTTTCTCTCCCTCTCCACGTGTTGACTGACTGATCCCAGGCATAGAGCAAAGGCTCCGGTCACATATGTACCATGCTGAATTCAGTCTCTCTTGCCAGACTGCACAGCACATAATTCCCACACATGCACATACACTGTGCACACGCACATAAACCACACACATACACTGCGCATGCACACACTGCACATGCACATACACCGCCCACATGCACTCACTCTGCGCACCCACAGCACACACTACACACACGTACACACACAACACACATTTGCTTAATTTGCTTAAGAGAGTTTAAGTATTCCACATTCAACGGAGTCTAATCAGCTCCATCACTGGGGGGTGGGGTTTGAGAAGCGGTTTGCAGAGCTACATAAAAGTTCACATTCCCGCTCACTCCTAAACGTGGAGAGAAACCGATCACACAGAACTAACACAAAGTCACTGTGAACAGAGAGCCCACTAACAGCCCTCCTAAAATCAGCCTTCCTCGTTCACAGGGAGCTAAACTCTACTGCTCAGAGGTGACTGCGGATTAACCCTGAGGGCAGGCAGCGCTGTCTACCGAGCCTTGTAACAGCAGAGCAAAGTCAGAGCACTCTGACCCAGCCGTTGTTCGTGTTTGAAATAAGCCACAGAGGAATCTCTCTGGCCTGTCTCTCCCCCAACTCCCTCTCCTCTCCCCCACATCTCCTTCTCATCCTCTCCACACCCCCACCCCCCTACCCATCACTTAGCAGCCACACACACACAGCATCAGACCATCAGACCCTAACCAGGCCAGTCTGTCAGTCTTACCTTCTCTGTCGCTCTCATTGCTGGAAGTCACTCTCTAGTGCAACCCGGGAACTGAGCAACTGGGAAACAGTGTGAGGATAAGGCAGCCGTCTATCTGTCTGTCTGTCAGTCACTCGCTCGCTCACTGGCTCTCTGTAAACTGCCACTGACAAGTCTCGCCACGGCATGACTGGCACCCCACACACGCTGCCATTTTCCCCACCCTCCCCTGCGCCACGGAAAGGCGAGATTCCCACAGCAGCCGTAGGCTCTCTCCCAGGCCGGCCGTGTACTGGAAGTTTAAACTCTGTAACCTCAGCCCCAGCCTGTCTCTGGCACTCTGCTCTGCCGGCCGGTATTCCCGGCTGTTACCGTTGTTTGAGGAACGCCTCGGATTGCTGCCCAACCCCTCCCCTGAGCGCTTCACGCTGCGGTCTGGCCTCTTGGCACAGTGTCTGATCACATCTCTCCTGGAGCCAGTGTCACTGTAAAGTGTAGTGACTGTATTATGTAGTTGAACACAGCAGCCAATTTGCACACAGAGATGTTCTATAGACATCAATGACTATTTTCTTTTCTTTGGGGGATTGTTGGTTAGGATACCGGGAGGAACTCTCTTCTCTTTTTGAAATAATACCACAATATTATTTGTAACCGCAAAAACAATTTGCAAAATCCCCACCAAAAAATTCAAAACATTTTACCCACAAAATACACGGTCAATCCACTACACAATATGTTCTATTTTTGTTGTTGTTGTTGTAGATCCAAGTTCTTCCAAGCTACACTACACTTACTATATGTCATGTCGCAAATGACTCATATAATCTCAAAATATTATTTTCCAAAGAAATCTATCTAATTTGTATTTAAATTAAATATTTACGATTCACTGTAAAGTCTAGTGACTGTCTATTTTGTAGATGGCGGCAGCCAATTTGCAAAATCCCACAGACATCAATCAATGATTTTTTTTATTTGGAGGGGATTGTTGGCCAGGAACAACAACAACAACAACAAGATTGCATTTATAGAGCGCCTTTCACGTCGGGAGGACGTCCCAAGGCACTGGACAGTTGGGTCGGGAACCGAGCAGGGGGGAATTGGTCAGGGTGAGGGAAGGGAGGGAGCGAGGAGGGGGTAGAGAGTCAAGAGCTGAAAGCACGGCTGAAGAGAAAGGTCTTGAGACCGGCCTTGAAGGCGGAAAGGGAGGAAGCAAGGCGAAGGCACTGGGGGATGGCGTTCCAGAGTCTGGGGGCTGAGAGGCTGAAGGCCCGGCCACCGATGGAAGGGCAGTTAGGACGGGGAATGTGGAGCAGACTGGAGCCAGAGGAACGGAGGGTACGGGCAGGTAGGTAGGGGGATAGTAGGTCAGAGAGGTAGGAGGGTGCAAGGCCATGAATGGCCTTGTAGGTGAGGATGAGGATCTTGAATTCGATCCTCTGGGGGATGGGGAGCCAGTGGAGGTGAGCGAGGGTGGGAGTGATGTGGTCCCGAAGCCTGGTGCGGGACAGTACACGAGCTGCAGAGTTCTGAATGACCTGCAGCTTGTGGAGGGAGGTGGCGGGAAGGCCGGCGAGGAGAGAGTTCCCATAGTCCAGCCTTGAGGTGATAAAGGTGTGGACCAGTGTTTCAGCAGCGTGAGGGGTGAGATAGTGCCACGGAATCTTTAACGTCCATCTGAACGGACAGACGGTTGCTTGGTTTAAAGTCACATCTGAAGGACGGCAGCTACAACCCAGGACCTTTGGACCAGAGTGGGAGCGACTGAGCCAGGCTGACTCCTATCTCCAGCCCAAACCCTCTCAATATGTCCACTTGCTGACGATCACTTTTAAACCCAGGGCACCACTCTCCACGTGCACAGAGCCAGCGCTGTCACTCTCATCACACCTGGCTTTCAGTTAACACACGCAAACAAACACAGACACAGACACACACACACTGACAGAAACCAGAGCGGTTGCCATATCTCCTCCACCCCTCCCCCACTGCGCGGCAGAACAGATTCCTTTCTGTGCGAATCAATGCGACCGTTAACCATTTCATTCCCACTGTTGTCCAACATATCCCTTGATACTCTTTGCCTAACAAAAATCTATCCACCTCAGTCTCGAAAAGTTCGATTGATCGGCACCATCAGCAGCCAGGGTAACGTCTCTCCCTCCGGCCCGCGTACCTGGGAGAGTTGGCTCCAGGAGGCCGAGATCGGCCTGTATTCCAGCACGGCCGGACGCTCAGCGTTTTCACGCTCTGTCCGCGCGGTCCGCTCGGAATCCTCATCCGTGTCACCGTTATCCAGGGTCAGCGCTTTCTCCTTGAAGTTCTGATAAAGAACAGCGTTTTCTAAACAACAAAGCATTTATTTCAACAAAAACAATGACACAATCCAGCGACAGTCAGCCTTGCGTTCTTACACGACGCCGCTCACGTCGGGAGGACATCTCAAAAGCGCTTCACAGGATTTACGGTAAAGTGTAGTGACTATGTCCTCGGTGAGAGAACACAGCAGCCAATTTGCACACAGCAACGTCCTACATGGAGTGAGTGACCAATTTTCTCTGGGGCCATTGTCGGCCAGGACAGCAGGAGAGAGAAATTCGCTTCTCTTTTCTTTTCTCCAAATAATCTTTAACACCCACCTGGACCTCAGTTTAACATCTAATCTGCAGGACAGCGCTTCCGACAAAGCAGCGCTTCCCCCAGCATAGCCTGGACTGTGAGCTCAAAGTCCTGATGTGAGACTTGAACCCACAACTTTCTGACTCGGAAGCAAGAGTGCTCCCCACTGAGCCACGATGACACCTGTAAAAGTGTGAAGAAAGGCTTAAATAAATCAGGGTGTTTTTTTTAAAAACACCTGACCTGGGGCCCTGGGACACAACTCCTCCCTGCAATAATAAGCCATGGAGAGAACAGTGGCTCACCTTCCTCCTCGAAGGCTCCCTGGCTCGCGCACAGCCTCTTCTTCTGCTCCTGTTTATCGGGAGAGAAAAACTCTGTGAAGCCTTGGAAATCACACACTGGCTCAGAGCGTTAGCTCACGGGAGTCAATCATTCGCAGCAAAGGGGGAAAGGAAAAAGAGAGAGGGACACCGAAGAGAGAGAGCGAGAGAGTGAAAGAGACAGGCAGAGTGAGGAGAGAGAGAGAGAGAGAGAGAGACAGTGACAAGAGAGCAGAGAGATAGAGCAGAGAATTTTTGGGGGTCAACTGGGTGTCTGACACATGCGGAAACCCATCATCATGCTTAAGAGTTCTCCAAACCAAACTGAGAATTCCATGCATCCCATCTACACATGGAAATTCCAGAGATAATTTTTTAGAAAGGAATGCACACTCTCTCCCTGGAGGGACGCAATCTGCTTTATCTAATTCCAGAGAGTATTAGGCGCAGGTTGGCAAGTACGAATACGTGGGGACCCCAGTGTAATTGGAGTAACGGCCGGAGTCTATCTCGTGAAAATCGGATAGTTTGCCATTGACCGGAGATAAGAGAGACACAGAGAGCGGAGAGAGATGGAGCGAGAAAGAGACACTGAGAGCACAGAGAAAGGGAGAGGAGACAGAGGTTATGAGAGGTTATGTAAGGTTGTGAGAGGGGCGGAGAAAGGACAGGTAAATGGAACTGAATGGATTGCTCTCTCAAAGTGCCAGCACGGAGATGATGGGCCAAATAGCCTTCTTCTGTGCTGTAAATTTCTATGGTTTGATGGAGAGAGGGAAGGGGTGAGAGAGAGGAGAAAGAGTGAGAGAGACTAGACGTGGGCACACACGCACACTCACAGACACACTCACCACACTCACACACCTCACAGACACTCTCACAAACACACACACTCACACACATAGACACTCACAAACACTTATACACACACTCACACTCACAGACATTCTCACACATACACACACTCACAGACACTCTCACATGCACAAACACGCACACACACACAGGGAGCTGGGCTGTGATGAACAGTGTTTGATGCCCAGGCTGGGAGCTGAGCTCTCCCCAGCTTCCTCATGCAGAGACCAGTCCCTTAAGCTGCTGTGTGTAATTGAGCCGAACACACAGAGAGATCCCATTAACCACACTGGCACCACAGCTGAGTGCAGCTGTCAGCAGCTGTGCTGTGGGAAAGAACAGCGCAGGAATCCCTGGGGTTGCTGCTGGGCCTGTGCAGACGGGGGGGCCATGGACGGGCTGTTCTCAGTTGGGAGGGAGTGTGATCAGCCTCAGGGCCCCTGGTCAAGGAGAGGAAACCAGCCAGAGGTCCTCAATCCTTGTCCTCGTCATAACAATAAAACTGTATTCAATACAGCGCCCATTACATCGAGAATGGCTCAATGCACTCTATAACCGTTCCAATTTCATGAAGTGACTCTGTATTTTGTGGGTGAAATGCGGCAGTGACCGGCGAAACAGCCACGGAGTGAGCGACCGATTTCATCTGCGGGATTTTTGGCCAGGACACCGGGAGAGAGAAAGTCCCGTCTACTTTTCCAACAGGTCCGTGGGATCTTTAACATCCACCTGAACCAGGCAGACGGGACCTGCCAGTGTCAAAGCAATAATAAGCTGGGTTGTTGTCGTTGTTGTTGTTGATGCAGACCAAAGCTCAAGCTGCCCTGGGTGACCACTCACCTTGCCTAGAGCCGGGCTGGACAGCCGGTCCCGACCCTCAGCCACGGGGGTCAGAGTGGGTTGTGCTGTCCTGTTATTGTCCGAGATGCTCGGGATGCGTTCGAACTGGACGCCGCTGACCACCGCCCGCCGGTAGGAGGTGGACCTGAGTCCTCGGCGGAGCTGAGCGGGGCTGGCAATCGCTGGGCACTGGGGCCTGGGCACCAGGGGGCCGCTGGTGGGCATCTCCAGCATACTGAGGGCCCGCCGGCTCCTGGCGTCGCTCTCGCCTCGAGGCCTCATTCCCGAGGCCAGGTCCCTGGGGATGATCTGCCGCTCGCCATTCCTGAGGGCCACGACACTGTGCGTGCTCAACACCACGGGGGCTTCCTCCCCTGGCGCCGGCAGCGACTGGCTCAGGCTCAGGCTCCGGCGCTGGGACGTCACTCTGCCGCTCAGGGAGCGACTCAGAGCCATGCCGGGCGAGGACCCCCCCAAAGGCACCCCGTCCACAGCAAAGTCTGCCTTTTGCAGGCTGTGGTTCTGGTAAGCAGCCGGCCTGGCTTTGCCCAGGAGGTTTGAAGGCACCGAGCTGGCAGATTTGGTCAGTCTGGAAGCCAATCGTCTCTTTCTCCACAGCGGAGTGATGGTCATGTTAGACAGGTCCACCTCGCTCTCCTGATCCATTCTTCCCCTTCCCGCACGGCTCACGCCTCACACCCGACCGGGAGAGGCGAGCGTTCCGCAGCTGTCAGCGAGGGATCCATCACCGGGAACGTTCTGTCCAACATTCCCAAAGCTCGGATGCCGTCATTGTTCCAAATGTCCCTGTAACAGAGGAGACGTGAGGTGTTAGGCTTCTCCCGGCTCCAAAATTTCACAGGTTGTTTTTTCCCCCAAAAGCTCCTCGATTGAATCTCGGTTTGGAACCTGTTTTGTGTTAAGACGCTCCAGTGCAAGGCTGGGGGAGCGCAAAGGCTGTAGGCCTTTGGATGACTCATTAAGACGCAAACCCACGTCTGTGCCTGTTTCGGGGGTTGTTAAAGATCCCACGGCAATATTGGGAAAGAGATCGGAGATTCTCCCGGGCTCCGCGGTTTCCCAGCTCAGTGATGTGTCTTGACCAGCTCACACCCCATAACCCAGCCCGATATCAACCGGGATCTCTTTTTTTAATGGGGTCAAACCGCTGTGTTATACTGAGGCCTAACTTCGCAATATATATAATATATATATAGTGACTCTGTGTTTAGTTAGCAAATTCAGCAGCTAATTTGCACACAGCATTGTCTAACAACCAGCCGTGGAGTGAGTGACCAGTTTTATTTGGGGGATTGTTGGCCAGGGACACCAGGAGAGAGAAATTTTCTTCTCTTTACCAGTAGCGCCATTAACATCCACCTGAACAGGCAGACAAGCTCCAAAGAGGAGCACCTCCGACAATGCAGCACAGCGCTGCACTGAAGTGTCATCTTATACTATATGATGTCAAAGTAACAGTGTGGAGCTTAAAACCACCAACTTCTTACTGAGAGACAAGAGTGTTACGATTGAGCCATTAACACAGCGCTACTCGCATGCTGATTAACAACCAACCTTTCACCTGGAGAAAGGCGGGAAATGCCTTGGAAACCGAAAGCACAGGCAGAATAGCCCACTCTCCCATGGGAGGAATTTTTCCCCCTGTTAATCCCGAGCACAAGGCAACAGAGACTGCCAGCGAGACCATTTCAATCCATCTTGGCTAGTCCCAAAATACAAACCAAGAAAGAAATAAAGAATTTACACGGTTCCATCTAGCAGGGCACTCAATTTAATTATTTCCCGGTTAAAACAGATATTCCATTCCCTGTTAGTTTCCACTTCTCAGATATCAGCCTGGTTCACTCGGTAGCACTCTCAGAAAGTTGTGTGTTTAAGCCCCCCAATGTGATTTTGAGTTCACGTGACATTAAACCGAGATCTGTCTGCCTGTTCAGGTGGACATTAAAGATCCCATGGCACTATTCAAAAAGAGAAGGGAGTTTCTCTCTCTCGGTCTCCTGGCCAACAAATCCCCAAATAAAGTTGGTCACTCAATTCATGGCTGATTGTGGGACACTGCTGTGTGCAAATTGGCTGCTGTGTTCATCTATAAATACACAGTCACTACACTTTTCAGTAAATCCTGTAAAGTCTAGTGACATCCTTCCGACATCCTTCCGACATGAAAGGCGCTGTACTAAATGCAAGGACTATTCGAGCACATTGTAATTTTGCATTTGTTTTTAAATCTGTGTTTTATTCTGTCATGAAACGGTTAATGACCACAGACTGCGCTCCCCCCGCCACCACCAGCCCCTCCCGAGTTGAAGCTTTGTACCGTAAACCGTAAACCATTCACTGGCAAAATAACTGGCAGAAAGTTCTCACTTTATATCCACTGCAGCTCTACTGACAGAACCACCCCCACACACATAATCCACACAATAAGCAACTGAGACGTTATGCAAGCGGAATGTAATATGTAAACCTCGAAGTTCAGATCGTACAGAAACTTAACTCGCTGCCTCGCAGGAGAGACCCGGGGCAAAATCTTAGGCAGGTTTCCTTAGTCCACACGCCTCTGTTTACCTAGCAGTAAGTAGGAACCCAGTTGTTATTTGATTGGCGAATTGCTCCGGGGGGGTAATAATCTCTTAAAAATTTGTTCACTCAATCAACGATGTTTGTGGGACAGTACTGTGCGCGATTCGCTGCCGCATTTCGCCCGCAGAATACAGTCAGTCCACTTTACAATATATACCGTGAAGTCTTTTGAGACGTCTTCGAGACGTGATAAGGCGCTACATCAAACGTAAGGATTATTTTTAAAAATGCACACAAAAATTGACGTTTTCAGTGAACTTTCGCAGCTGACCTGCAAACACTGTGACGTTTCCAAAAAACGTTGTGGGGAGGATGCTGACGACTGGTTTAGTTGTTTTTAAAAAAACATACAATTCGCCAAAAATGCTGCACGTTCTGAAATAAGAGTAAATGGTGACCCAGTTGGAATTTTTACTCCACGGTGTGTGTCTGCAGAGGGTGTCTGTCTATCTGTCAGACAATCTGTCCCCTTCCAGATTTTCTTTTTTTGGGTCAACCGGGGGTGTCTGACACATGCGGAAACCCGTCCCCTTTGCTTAAGAGTATCCAAACCAAGGCTGAGGATTCCATGCATCCCAGTTACACATGGAAATTCCAGAGATAGATTGTGGGAATGGAATGTGTCCTCTCTTCCTCTCTCTCTCTTTGCAGGGATGCATCCTGTTTACCTAATTTGAGAAAGTATTAGGAGCAGGTTGGCAAAGCGGCAAGGCTTGGGGGTGTGAGTGTGAGTGTGACATACTCAAGAGTGTGAGCGAGGGTAACTGCTGAGAGTCTGACCAGCTAAAACCACAATAGCTTGGCATTGAGAGCGCTCACTGTCTGGCAAGCTTTCCCGCTGCTTATCCGGCTAGGATCACCCGAGGGCTACGGCTCGCAGGGTTAACACAGGAGCTGAGTGGGAGGATTCCCTGCACCCCACTCCCCCGCCCCCCACACACCACACACACCCCCACCCCACCCCCCGTGACTAGTCTGCCCTTCCAGGTCCTGCTGATGAGCCAGGCTGGGCTGTGCTGGGTTTTGCTATCAGCAGCAATGCCCTGGAATCCTAACAGGGAAACCAAACGTGGCATAGGGGTGAAACTCACTGTGTGGCATCTTGGATCAGCTCACCTAGGTCTCTGTGTGTTCTAGTCTCCCCAGAGTCAGCTCCTGTGCGGATGACATGGTCTCCAGTTTTCCCCCTCTCTTGGGCTGCTGGTGCTTTCCAGACTTAGGGAGAGAGAGAGAGAGAAAGAGAGAGAGAGAGAGAGAGAGAAACAAACTGCAGCAGAAATACTTTCCAAAGTTGAGCCAAGTTCAAAACCAACGCAGTGAAATTCCCCAGCAGAATTCCCAGCAAAAGTGTTCCCAGTTCCCAGGCTAGAGCTCAGACACAGAGACACAGCTATAGCTCCCTGGGCTGCTGTCTGCTTTACTCTCTCTCAGCCCATTAAAGGTTGGAGACACTGAGCGCAAGTTTTTTTTTGCCTAAACTTTTGTTTCAGAAAGTGCAAGGCGAACCTCTGCCTCCATGTGGCTACTAACTGCAACGCCACAGCCAAGAGCAATCAGTGCTCACTCCGCCCTCCTTAACTCTCTGTACCTTTCTTTCTCCTTCCCACACACTCTCACTCTCTCCTGTTTTGCATTCTCCCACTCTCTCTCTCCTTTCCACTTTGTTCCACCCTCGCTCTCCTTCTTTCCCCCTTCTCTCTGCCTTTCTCTCTTCTCCCTCCTTTTCTTCTTTCTCTTTCCCTTTTTGACTTCCAAGATCCTCACTCTCGTGTCCACTCTCTGGCACCTCCCTATCTGTCTGATCTCCTCGCTCCCCCAGTCCGCCAGCTGGTGCCTCTGCTCGACTGGCACCGGCCTCCTGCTCGTCCCTCGCACCCTCCGCTCCACCATCAGTGGTCGCGCTTTCAGCCACTGTGCACGAAAACTCTGGAACACTCTCCCTCAATCCCTCCGCCTTGCCTCCTCTCCCCCTTTTTCAAGTCCCGCCTGAGTCCTGTAGCTCACTGGCTAGAGCACTAGCCTCGCAAGCAAGAGACCTGGATTCCCGGCAGGTCGAATTCTTGGGCAAGTTTCCTCACTCCACACGCCTGATAATAATCCCTCAAGAAATAAATAAATAAAATAATAAATTGGTCAGTCAATCCACGACTATTTGTGGGACGCTGCTATGCGCAATTGGCTGCCGCGTTTCGCCCACAAATATACGGTCGTTTCACTTTACAGTATATTCTGTGAAGCGCTTTTGAGACGTCTAGAAGACGTGAAAAAGCACTATGTTAAATGCAAGGAAGATTGTTATATTATTATTAAAACCTTCATTTTCAACCGTGCTTACGGTCACCAATTAATATTGCAGGATTAAAGTTACATTATCCTAATTTTCAAACCCCGGTGAAGAAAATAAACACAGAAGAAAGGGATTGGAATAACATATAATAATCCTTGCACCAGCAGAGCGTTCCTGTGTTGAGTGAGGTTTGCTGTGGTATACTGTCTATGCTATGACTTTGTTTGACTGTAACTATCAGAGAGAGAAAGAGAGAAAGGACAAGTCCCACTCAAACAATCCATGCGAGGGGGTGGGGCTGGGAGGGGGGGAGAAACAGTTGACATGCTAATTGGATGTAACCTCTTCGGACACATAAATTGATCATCAGCTTCAAAAGAGAGAGAGGCTTTGTATCCTGTCCGTTCCCGCGCTCCAGCAGAGCTATTATATACAGTGGGAATTCTAGCACCTCAACCTCACCAGCTGCTCAGAGAGAGAGAGAGAGAGAGGAGGAAAGACAGAGAGAGAGAGATTCAGAGAGAAACACACAGAGAAAGAGAGAAATAAACAGAAAGAGAGAAAGATATATAGAGAATGAAATAGAGAGAGAGAGAGAGAGAGATACGGAAAGCCAGAGAGCACTGCAATCTTCCCAGGACCTTCGGGTGAGACGTTAAACCAAGGTCCCGTCTGCCTGTTCAGGTGGATGTTAAAGATCCCGTGTGTGTGCGTGATGTGGCTGTGCACAAGTTGCTGTCCACATATACAGCCTATGTGTTCGCCAGAATATTAGCGGGTGAGGGGGTGTGGGGGCGGGGGTGTGTGTGGGGGTTGGGGGGTGGAGCAGCAGGAAGCAGCTTTGTCCACATGAACCAGAACCCCCCCACCCCGAGCTGAGGCCAGTCTGTCTGAGCCGTGCCCCCCGAGCACTGTGCCACACACAGCACCAGGTGGCAGCATTGTCCTTCTCAATGTGTCCCAGCAGTCTCACATTTTCTGCGTCATTGCTGCACTTTCTTTTGGTCGCCGGGTGTCTGACGCATACGGAAACCCATCACCGCCCTCGATAATATCCAAACCAAACTGAGAATTCCATGCATCTCACCTGCATGTGGAGAGATAGATTGTTGGAATGGAATGCACTCTCTCTCCTTGGAGAGGCGCATCCTGCTTACCTAATTCCGGAAAAGTATTAGGTGCAGGTTGGCAAGTGCCAAGGCTTGGGGACCACGGAGTGTGCTTTGGGGTAACTGCTGGAGTCTAACCAGCCAAACCTCTCTAGTCTATTGCCCCCTCTGCTCCATGGAGAGGTAGCAAGTTGGCGTGAGTTTCTTTGTTCGCCAGCAGGAGTTTCTGGCTTGCAAGCACGGGCACCAATTCCTGTATTCAGATCAGGCGAGGGAAGCCCATTCTGTGCCATTATCGAGCACAAATAATGGACAAACATGGGGTGATTTAGCCGTGCCACAAACCACACCAGATCCTTGGATGATTCCGGCATGATTCCATGTGCTCTGCGTGTTGGAACTGGCTGTTTGTGTGTGACAGATGTAACGGATGGTGGGTTAAGGCTTGGAACCAGATGGATGGCTTGTGTCATCCACTTCCTACTGTTCACACTGCAGATAACAAGCCGTGGGGTGAGCAGCAAAGCCTCACCATATGGCAGGACTGTGCAGAGAGGGAATCCAGGCGCAGTGTTACTGAGAAGCATGATTTTCCATTTTGTTGGGTTACACACCATTACACTAGTCACAGCTCCGTGTCACAGCTCTCAGATCACAGGAACGTGTGTGTGAGTGTGTGTGTGCAAGTGTGAGCCCTGTGTGAGTGAGTGTGGTGTGGTATGGTCTGAGTGAAGGTGAGTGTGAAAGGAAGGGTGTGTCTGGTGTGTCTAAGTGCATGTGAGTGTAGATGTTTGTGTGCGCATAAGAATGTGAGTGTATGCCTTTGAGTGTGTGTGAGTACATACACCTGTGAGTGCGTAAGTGTATGTGAGTGTGTAAGCATTCGTGAGTGTGTAAGTGTGATTTTGTGCACGGGTATGTATAAGTCTGTGTGATTTTTGTGTGCGAGTGTGTTGAAGTGTGTGCAAGTGTGTGCAGGTGAGAGTGGATGTTCGCGAGTGCAAATGGATGTGAGTGGAAGTGAATGTGAGTGAGTATGAGTGTGAGCGTGTGAGTGTATGTGTGCGTGAGAGTGCGTATCTGTGAGCAAGTAGCATGCAGGTGAATTTACAATGTGGACAAAACAGTGAAATCTCCAGCTTGTGAGAGCTGTCGTGTTGCTTGTGTTAGTGAGAAAGACCCACTAACAGCAGTTAGCTTGTGCAGGACATAAATCACAAAGTCTATTAGTGTCAGAATACAAAGGTGCAACTCAATTATTGTCCGTGTCCTGGGTGCTCATCACAACACGCCCACACACACACACACACACACGCACACACATACACGCCATTAACTTCCTGCCTCCCCCACATCGCACCAAGTGCCGGCCAAGAGGGAGAGAAACCAAAAGTGTTTGGCATTGTGCAGTCACCAGTAATTACACACAATCACTGTCTCTCCCACCACCCCCCCCCCCCACTCCCCACACACAGTCACTATCTCTTCCCCACCCTACCCACACACAATCACTATCTGTCCCCACCCCCACACACACACAGTCACTCTCCTCCCTCCACGCACACAGTCGCTACACCTCTCCTCCCCCCACCCCACACACACAGTCACTATCTGTTCCCCCCCCACCCATCCCCACACACACACACACACACAGTCACTACATCTCTCTGCCCTCTGCACACAGATGAAGAAGGGATGGGGGGAGAGCTGGAGAAGTGATTCACTCCAGAGTAATGGAGCTGAATAGAGATTTCCCACTGATAGCGTCAGCTGTGAGTTATGTTCTGTTGCTGCTGTTTGCTGACTGAGAACAAACACTGCGGTACAATATGAACCCAAACGTCTATCCAGCGGGGAAGGATAGCCCACCACTTGGTAACCAGTGATGGCATCTGAGGGACATTAATTGAGGATTTTCTAATTCATTTAGCAATGGAACCCGCACTGGAAAGCAATTTCGTCCGCAAATTTCACAGTCACTACCGTACACAATATATCTTGTGAAGCTAATATTCCATGTATTTGATACAATAACTGTTTCCAGTCAGGAGGATGTCTCAAAGCATAACGACTGTGTATTTTTCAGGGGAGTGAAAAAAAGACAAAAGCTGGTTATTTTATATTTTATGAAATCGTACAATTTACAGGACCAAAAAAGGAGGCCATTCAGCCCATCGCATCTGTGCTGGTGCTCGCTCCCCCATTGGAGCTCTCTAGTCTATTCTGGGCTGTGATATTGATGTGTCTGAGCCCACACGTCTGTGTTACAGATATGGTTGAGCTGGCGTTACTGATGTGTCCGAGCCGTGTTACTGACAATGGTTGAGCCGTGTTAGTGATGTGTCTGTGCCGTGACACTGCCGTGCTGGGGGACGGCTGGCAAAGTAGCTGTAGAATCACACGGCTCACAGACAAGAAGAGTAAAATTGCTGCTGAGCAGCGAGCAGCATCCTGTGGGTGTTCACTCCAACGCCCACATTCTGTTCCTCGGATAAAATATGCTAATAACACCATGTAGCACCTTTTTAATCTACTGCCTGTGAGCGGCACGCACTGATCTGCAGCACGCTCTTGGCCCACTCTCCTCCAGAGGCTCTGCCAACCAGCGCTGTGTGAATAAAATGACGGGAGGGGAGGGAGGGCCTGATTTGAGGAACGCTTGGGGAGCCGATTGGCGATGCAGATGAGAATAAGAATGGATCCGCAATCTTAATAACAATACAATAATAATCCTTGCATTTGAAATGGCGCCTTATCACTTCATCGAGATGCCTCAAAGTGCTTCGCAGAATATATTGTAAAATGGATTGCCCGTCTGTTTGTGGGTGAAACACGGCAGCCAATAGCGCAGGCAGCGATGTCCCAGAACGAGCCGTGAAGTGATTGACTAATTGTCAGAGCGGTGGCTCTCTAGACTGCAATGTTACACATTCCAATGCTACGTGCTTCGACAGAGGGTAATTCCTTTTGAATTTAGAGCAAAACAATACAACAAATGCGGTACAGAAGAAATAATGGGCTAACATTTGTAGTATTCCTTACGCCATTGGTTGTCAGCCTGGCTCTGTTAATCATGCGTTTGCTTTGGCATCAAACTCCATGTCAGGACTGCTAGCCTAAGATGATACTCCAATGCAGTAAGAGTGTT